TTCTGTTTCTATTGGGTAGGGATAAGCCCATGGAGGGGTTTGGATACCAAGATGAAAAATTTTGCAATCAAAGCATTGCATAACCAGGAGCCAGTATAGATCAACAAGCATAGATGTGATAGGGGTTTGAGGAGGAATTGTTGTCAAGGGACAGTTAGATCCCAAACACTACTTCGGTGTTTCCCCCTCTCTCTCCTGTAACCAACAACAAAAAAAAAATGTGAAGACCACAAGCAAGGGAAAGTGAGTGGTCTTGCTCTGCTGCAGGTGACTACAAGGGAGAGATTTGATTGGTGAGTAGTGGGTAAAGCAGGTAAGTCCTAATAACATCTAGTACTGTTCTTGGCTTCTAATCTGTAAGGGTAGTACACAGACCAGGAAAGAAGGGCCACAGGTAACTGGATTTGATTTAACCTATTGTAAAGTACTGTCCAAGGTTTAATTTAAAGAGGTAAACCATGGCAGGAGAGCTCAAAATCTTGGTTTGTTCTTGTTGCTTCATGTGGCAGACTGGGGGCAGTTCTAGCCCCCCTGGCCAGCATGTGTGCAGGAAGTCTCTCTAGCCACAGCTGCTGGAAGCCCGAGTTTCGGAGCTGGAGCAGTGGCTGGGGACACTGCGGAGCACTCATGAGGCAGAGAGCATTGTGGATAGCACGTATAGAGAGGTGGTCACACTGCAGACTCTGACTCTGCAGGTGGGAAGGGAATAGCTGACCACCAGACAGAGCAAGACAGATAGGCAGGTAGTGCAGGAATCTCCTGTAGCCATTCCCCTGCAAAACAGATATATCATTTTGGATACTGTTGGGGGAATGACTTCTCAGGGGAAAGCAGCAGCAGCCAAACTTGTTGCACCAAGCTTGGTTCTGACAGAGAGGAGGGGTAAAAAGTCATAGGGGACTCAATTGTAGGGGGAGTAGATAGGCGTTTCTATGGCCGCAAATGAGATTCCAGGATGGTGTGTTACCTCCCTGGTGCTAGGGTCAAGGATGTCTCAGAGCGGGTACAGGACATTATGAAGGAGGGGGGTGAACAGCCAGTGGTCACGGTACACATCGGTACAAACCACATAGGTGAGAAAAGATATGAGGTCCTAAAGGCAGAATACAAGAAGCTAGGAAGAAATTTAAGAAATCGGACCTCAAAGGTAGTGATCTCAGGATTACTGCTGGTGCCACCAGAGGAGAAGTGACAGAATATACCAGATGAACACGTGGGTGCAATGTCCCAGGGTTTTCAGCATTTAGGAAGGACAGGCAAAAAAGGAAAAGGTGGCAGAGCGGCTTTGCTGGTTAAAGAGGAAATTAACACAATAGTGAGAAAGGGTATTAGCTGTGACAATGTGGAGTCTGTATGGGTGGAGTTGAGAAATACCAACAGGCAAAAAACATTAGTAAGTGTCATTATATAGACCCCCAAACTGCAGTGGTAATGTCGAGAATGACATTTAACTGGAAATTAGAGATGTGTGTGATAAGGGAATGTCAGTGATCATGGGTGATTTTAATCTGCACATAGATTGGGCTAATCAAATTAGCCACAATGCCGTAGAGGAGGAATTCCTGGAGTGTATACGGTATGGTTTTCTTGACCAATATGTGGAGGAACCAACTATAGAGCAGGCCATCTTAGACTGGGTGTTGTGTAATGAGAAGGGAATCATTGTCAATCTAGCTATGCGAGACCCCTTGATAAAATATTTTATCAAGATGGAGAGTGAGGTTGTTGATTCAGAGACTAGGGTGCTGAACCTTAAAAGAAACTATGAGGATATGAGCCGTGAGTTGGCCTTGATAGATTGGGGAGAGTTACATAAAGGGATGACATTGAATAGGCAATGGCAAGCATTCAAGGAACGCATAGGGGAAACTGCAGCAACTCTTTATTCCTGTCTGGCACAAAAGCAAAATGGGTAATCCATGGCTTGCAAAGGAAATAAGAGATAGTATCTGATCCAAGGAAGAAACATACAGATTGGCCAAGAAAAATAATAAATCTGAGGATTGGGAGAAGTTTAGAATTCATCAAAGAAGGACCAAGGGATTGATTAAGAAGGGGAAAATAGATTACGAAAATAAGCTTGCAGGGAACATAAAGACTGATGCTAAGAGTTTCTATAGGTACATGAAGAGAAAGAGATTGGTTCAAAACAAATGTAGGCTCCCTACAGGCAGAAATGGAGGAATGTATAATAGGGAATAAAGAAATGGCTAAGGAACTGAATACATACTTTGGCTCTGTCTTCACAAAAGAGGACACAAATCAGATACCAGAATTGTTGGAGGATGCAAGATTTAGTGAGCGGGAAGAACTAAGGGAGATCAATATTAGTAGAGAAATGGAGCTGGGAAAATTGTTGGGATTGAAGGCCAATAAATCCCAAGGCCTGATAATCTACATCCCAGAGTATTTAAGGAAGTAGCTGTAGAAATAGTGGATACATTGGTGGTCATCTTCCAGGATTCTATAGACATTGGAACAGTCCCTGCAGATTGGAAGGTAGTTAATGTCACTCCAATATTCAAAAAGGGAGGTAAAGAGAAAACACACAGAATTATAGACTAGTGAGCCTAACATCGGTTGTTGGGGATATTCTTGAATCCATTGTCAAGGATTTTATAGCAGAGCATTTAGAAAGCAGTGACAGGATCAGACAGAGTCAATGTGGATTTATAAAGGGGAAATCATGCTTGACAAATCTGTTGCAATTCTATGAAGATGTAACTAGCAGAGTTGACAAGGGGGAGCCAGTCGATGTAGTATATTTGGACTTTCAGAAAACTTTTGACAAAGTCCCACTTAAGAGATTAGTGCGCAAAATTAAAATGCTTGGGACTGGGGGACGTATATTGAAATGGATAGGAAACTGGTTGGCAGAGAGGAAACAAAGAGTAGGAATTAATGGGTCCTTTTCAAATTGGCAGGCAGCAACTAGTGGGGTGGCACCGGGATTGGTGCTGGAAGCCCAGCTATTCCCAATATATATTAATGATTTAGACGAGGAAACAAAATGTGACATCTCCAAGTTTGCAGATGATACTAAGTTGGGTGGGAGGCTGAACTGTGACGAGGATGCAGAGATGCTTCAGCATGATCTCAACAGGTTGAGTGAGTCGGCAAATCAATGGCAGATGCAATATAATTTGGCTAAATGTGAGCTATTCACTTCAGAAGCAAAAACAAGAAGGCAGATTAGTACCTGAATGGCTGTAAATTGGGAGAGGGAAGTGTGCAGCGGGACCTGAGCATCCTTGTAGACCAGTCACTGAAGGTAAGCATACAGGTGCAGCAGGTGTAAAGAAAGCAAATAATATATTGGCCTTCATTGTGTGAGATTTCGAGTACAGGAGTAGGGATGTGTTGCTGCAGTTGTGCAGGGCCTTTGTGAGACCACATCTAGAATATTGTGTGCAGTTTTGGTCTCCTTTTCTGAGGAAGGATGCTCTTGCTCTCGAGGGAGTCCCGTGAAGGTTTACCAGGCTGATTCCAGGGATGGCAGGTCTGATGTTTGAGAAGAGATTGACTAGGTTGGGATTGTTTTTGCTAGAGTTCAGATGAATGAGGGGGGATCTCGTAGAGATTTATAAAATTCTAACAGGACTGGACAGGGTAGATGCAGAGAGGATGTTCCCGATAGTTGGTGTGTCCAGAACCAGGGGTCACAGTATGATGATTCGGGTAGATGATTTAGGATGGAGATGAGGAGATATTTCTTACCCAAAGAATGGTGAGCCTGTGGAATTCATTACCACCAGAAGTAGTTGATGTCAAAACTTGAATGTATTCAAGAGGCAACTAGTTATAGCAGTTGGGGCGAATGGGATCAAAGTTTATGGGGCGAAAGCAGGATTAGGCTATTGAGTTGGATGATCAGCCATGATCGTGAAGAATGGCAGAGCAGGTTCGAAGGGCTAAATGGCCTCCTCCTCCTTCCTTCAATGTTTCTATAAATGGAAGTTTGCACAATTTAGGAAATGGGCAGCAGAATTTGGGTGATTTTGACACTGAGGTTGGAAGATAGCAGGTTAGCTAGGATTGTGTTGTTATAGTCACACTTTGTACCACATCCTTTTTGAAAAAGGAAACTTTAGAACCCTGGTATCGTTTTAGTTTGTGATCTATCAGAGGGTTGTTCGCGTGTGGAATGAACTTCCTGAGGAAGTGGTAGATTTGGGTGCAATTACAACTTTTAAAAGACATGCGTATAAGTACGTGAATAGGAAAGGTTTGGAGGGATGTGGGCCAGGAGCAGGCAGGTGGGACTAGTTTAGTTTGGGATTTTGTTCGGTATGGGCTGGCTGGACCGAAGGGTCTGTTCCCTTGCAGTATGATTTTATGACTCTATGACTATACAGAAGTTGAAAGGCTAATTCAATGGCTGACAATGCTGAAATTTTAACTCTTGACACATCAGAATATAGACAGCATTTTAGTTCATAATATTGTTCTGTTCTCTGCATAAAATCTGCTGTGGCACGTACAATTCTGTTTTTATTCACTCATGGTATGTGGGTGTCGCCGGCTGGCCAGCTTTTACTGCCCATCCCTAATTGCCCTTAAAAAGGGTGGCTACTTGAGATTCTATCAGGCTTCTGTCCAGTGTGCATGTTCCAGGGTGAATGTCAGATGTCACATGACACCAGTTTATAGTCCAACAGGTTTAATTGAAATCACAAGCTTTTGGAGCACTGCTCTTTCATCAGGTTGAGTACCTCATAAGATGAGTACTTCACATGATGAAGAAGCAGCACACCAAAAACTTGTGATTTCAAATGACCCTGCTAAATGGTAACCTGGCGTTCTGTGACTTCTAACTTGGTTCCCCCCCATTCCAACACCGACACCTCCACATAAGACTGAGGCTGATCTGTACGTTGTGCTGTTGGTTTCCTGGTTTGCTTCAGCCTTTTTCTGGGGAGTCAGTTCTCCTGAATGTCTTATGACTTTAAATATGAAGATTAATGATACTATATAATAAGTGTTTTTTTTTTCCTGTCTAGAAATTGATGTGGGCCTCTGCTTATGCCCCTGACACGCCGATGATAAATTTTGACTATTACCATTGTGTGAAAGGAGGAAGGGTGGAGAAGCTGCACTCCTTGCTAAAACCTCAGCTGCAGGAGCACTTGGACAAATTTGGCTTTTTCACTAGTGGTGAACACATATATCCCTGGTGAGTATTTAGGATTTCTTATTTTACTTCCTTTTCAGTGGTAAAGTTTTGAAACTGCACCATTCATGTAAAATTACAAAGTTTTTTTTCCTTGTTGAAATTATTTAGTCTGGTTGACTAAAAGACGGTTTAGGTGCCATGTCCTCAGTGCATATTAAACAATTAAATGTAGTAGAAATTAATATTTACAGAATTAGAGATCTACTTATTTAATAGTTTAAGAAATTTAGCTTCTGGAGGATATAACCATTTAATAAAATGTTTGACAACCCCTTGATGGAGTACTCCATTAGAGTTTGTGTGAAATAAATTAATGAGCTGAGATAATGATCTTTATTCTGATTGCTGTAAGTTGCTAAACGTTAGGAACACCGGAAGGTTTATTTCATATTCTGGTGGACTCTGGATATAAGACAAATAGTCTTGCCATTTGAAGTAATTGTGAGAGATGATCCATATGGGAGGCTGTTGTGAGAAATAGAAAAAAATACACTTAAAATTCTGATCTTGATTTCAAAGCATAATGCCATTCATGCGGATATGCGAATTAGGAGCAGGAATAGGCAATTTGGCCCTTGAATTTGTTTCGCTATTTGACAAGATTGTGTCTGATCTGACTGTGGCCTCAACTGTAATTTCCTAATAATCCTGATTAACTCCCTTGTTAGTCAAGAACCTACCTAGAAATATTTAATGGTCCTGCTTCCTTTACGTTTTGGGGATGGGAGGTCCGTAGACTCATGACCCTCTCAGGAAAAAAAATTTCCTCGTGTTATCTGAAATGTCATGCTGGAAAAGAGTGAATGTTTCATATTCCAACACGTTTTTGTGAAAAGGAAGAGGGATCTATAATTCTGCATTTGTCGTGATGTTTTTAGTTGTACAAGCACTTGATGCTGACAAATTTTCAATAAATGACCATAATGTTCTCACTTCTCTGAGCATAATGTTTCGCTATCCCACATCACAAAGCAAAAATGCACATTTTTAAAACATCTTATACTGTTTTTGACACAGTGAGATTCTGACAATACATTAGTCCGTTGCGGTTTTTATGTGAGCATGGAACTGAACTTCGAGTGACTTAAATTGGATTATTTGAGGTGTACATTCTACAGTTAGGAACTTTCCTATTTAAGTGTTGTCACACCGTGTATCTTAAGCAAATCAGTATATTGGTGTAGAGCTGTCTTCCTGTGCATGCACATCTCATTTTCAATTCAGTAGCAGAGTCAAATTATGCCAACACTCTACCTTTACAGTATAAAAATTTGGCCCATTCAGTAGCCATACTAAAATTATGAAACATGTTTTAAATCTAGCTGTCAGCCAATGCTTAGGAAGGTCAGTTGTATGCAGGTTTGGACAGTACAGTGTGTCTGACCTGGTAGTCCTCAGTGCAGTTTATTATTCCTGCAGGACACACTAAGATGAGGCTCGTTTACTTATTGTAGCTCGGTCAGTATCTGTCCATCTTTTAGAGCAGTTGTGAGATTGGAATTATTAGTGAGTTAATCTAGAAGTATAAAATTTGGGTGAATGGATACTATTGGTATTTGGTCTGTTAATGACTGAAGAAGGCACCTCCATCCCTTTCTTGAGGAAAATCACATATGGGGATCAAATCCCTTGCCAGCGATACTCTCATTCCTTGAAATAATAACCTAACAGTCACTTGATTAAGTGTATTTTTAATCTCAGATTGTTGTTTCTAAAGGTGCCCCCACAAACAACAGTAAACTGACTGACTGTATGCATCAGGTTTAACTTGGTCCTTATTTTGAACAAGTGTATAACCTCAGCCCATGTCTGAGGAGGATTGGATGATTGTGGCCTGCACTTTTGCAATTTCTACTTTTACCTTTTTCAGCATCCAAAGGTTGCATAACATATAGACCAAGTAACTTATTCACTTTACCTGCTGACTCTGCTTGAATGATTTTTCATGTCATTCAGCATCCCAACAACATCTGGGTTCACTATAAATTTTGGCAAAGTTATATTCTTTGGTAGCTACTGCTAAGTATACTTTGAGTATCTCAGCCAGCAGATCTCTATTTTGCCAAAGTTGACCTACTACTCCTCTAACAACCCTTTTATTTGTTAATTAAAACAGTGATTGTTGGAAAAACTCTCCATAGCATCTGTGGAAATAGAATCAGGAATCTGAAGGAGAATCAATGGACTTGAAATGTTAACTCTTTCTGTCTTCATAGATGCTTCCAGACTTGCTGAGATTTTCCAGCACTTGGTATATTTATTTCCAAGCTCCAACATCCATGGTAATTTACTTTTATCCTTTCACTGATAATGTGCCTGCGGAAGATCTTTAGATTCCCTTTTACGTTGGCTGACAGTGCTATGTTTTCCATCCATTCCGTCCATTTGCTTTTCAACTTCTCCTCTATACTTTCCAATTTCAGCCTGAATCTCACTGCATTATCTTTAAATTGCCTCTTTTCTTGCTTTATCACTTTTTTAAAACTCCCTTGTAATTTTGCTTGCCTTCCTTTTCCCTCATTTCTGTGAATGCACATAAGTTGTAGCATAGCCATTTCCTCTTTAAAGATCACTCTTGCTTTGTTACATTTCAATTTGCTAGTCTTTGACTCCAATTTATCTGGGCCTCTTCAATTTTCTGAAATTTGGTGGCCTCCAATTTGTGTTTTTATTTTAGATTGTCCCTTGTCACACTCTGTAACTTACCCAACTCTGATCACTACTTGCTACATGCTTCCACACTGACATGCACCATTTTTCACACTTTATTCCTCAGGATTAGATCCAATAATGCTACTTAATATATTGAACAGTGGCATACTAATCAAGAAAGTTCACCTATACATGCATTTGAAAACTTCTTCCTCCTGTTTGTCCTCAATCACACAAAAGTCCCATTTAGTTTCCTATTATCACTATTTGATAGTTCATGCACCTTAATTTTCAGTCGTACAAGTGCTAGATGCTGACAAATGTTCAATAAATGACCATACTGTTCTCGCCTCTCTGAGCATAATGTTTCGCCATCCCACATTCTCATCCTCGCTGTTTGATGGCCTGAGAAATACACAAGCTTGAAGTTGATCCTTGTTTGTTTCTTAACAGCAATCATTAACATCTCAGGGTATTTACTTTTCATAGTGTTGTGACATTTTATTTAAATCAAAATTGTTACTCCTTTTTCCCTTCCCCATTGTCCCTGATACCTTATACCTAGGAATATTAATGATTCTGTCCAAGTTTGGGCTGAGTCTCCGTTACTGCCACTACATCATTTCCATCTTTGCCTGTAGCTCAACCTTATTAACCACACTTCCTCCGTTAATATAAATTCACTCCCTACCTGACATTGAACTTTCTGTAAATTCTGTGATCTGTGCTATTTCAGTAATATTCTGCTGGTAAGTGTCTTTGTTTTTCCCTATGCTCTGTCTGTCTATACTTTTCAATCTTTCATTTTGGTGCCCAGTCTTTTCCTGAATTATTTAAACCTCTTTCTGTCAGAATAAATTCAGTAATCCAGCCTCCTGGCTGGAGTAGTGAATTCCAAAGGTTAAAAACTCTTTAAAAGAAGAAATTTATTCTCTTTCCATCTCAAGTGGGAGTACAATACTTATCTCTGCTTCTGAATCTCTAGATGCAGTACCAACATTTTCAGATTGTTCAGAAAAGTACACTATTGCTGAAAATTCATTGATATCATAAATTACAATATCACTGACAACAGTTTATTTTTGCATTTGACCTTTAGTCAGGATTCCTGGTCTTCTACAGTAATTGGAGTTTGCAACCTTAAGATTGAATAATGTTCGATCTATTCTGCAGAAGTAAAACTTTGAGCTTCTATCATTAATTGTATCTATTCTTTTAAGTCTGCAGTCAGGTGTGCTCCGAACAAATTGCCTTGATTGTCTGGATCGGACAAACAGTGTCCAGTCTTACGTGGCATTGGAGGTAATCATTTTATTTTTTGAGGAAATTGAAGCCAATTTTGAAGGCGATGTTGGAAAGCATGTCTTGATAAAATACAGTAAAAACACAGGCATAAGAATAGCTTATGCAATATCTTGAATCTGTTCTAGTAACCAATTGGATCATTGTTGATGTGTATCTGAACTCCATCGACTTGCCTTGGTTTCATAACCATTAATACCTTTTCCTTACAAACAACTATCAACTTCAGTTGTGAGGCTGTCCATTAAAAATTGGGAGGTTCATTTGCTTTTTGGAGCAGGAATGTACATACAATGGACAAGAGTAGGCTACTCGGCCATTCGAGCCTGCTAGGCCATTCAATAAGATCATGACTGATCTGATTTTAATCTTAATTCTACACTACTGCATATCCCTGCTAAGCTTTCATCTCCATGGTAATCAAGAATCTATCTAGCTCTGTCTTAAAAATATTTAAAGATTCTGCATCTATTGCCTTTTGAGGAAAGGAATTCCAAAGACAGTCAAACCTCAGAGGAAAAACATGAGTGACCCCTTATTATTAAACTATTGTGTGCAAGTATTGTGTGCAGTTTTGGTCTCCTAGTTTGAGGACGGACATTCTTTCTATTGAGGCAGTTCAGCGAAGGTTCACCACGTTGATTCCTGGGATGGCAGGACTGACATATGATGAAAGACTGGATCATGCTGGAATCTGGAAGAATGAGGGGGGATCTCATAGAAACTCATAATCCTAATGGGACTAGACAGGCTGGATGCGGGAAGAATGTTCCTGATGTTGGGGAAGTCCAGGACTAGGGGTCACAGTGTAAGAATAAGGGGCAAGCCATTCAGGACTGAGATGAGGAAGAATGTCTTCACTCAAAGTTGTGAACCTTTGGAATTCTCTCCCACAGAAAGTTGTTAGGGCCAGTCATTAAATATATTCAAGAGGGAGTGGGACATGGCCCTTGTGGCTAAAGGGATCAAGGAGTATGGAGAGAAAGCAGGAATGGGATACTGAAATTGCATGATCAGCCATGATCATATTGAATGGTGGTGCAGGTTTGAAGGGCTAAATAGTATACTGCTGCACCTATTTTCTATGTTTCTGTGATCCCAGCTCCAGATTTTCTCACAAGAGGAAACATCCTTTCCACAACTACATGGCCAACTCCCCTCAGATCTTGTGTTTTAATGAAGTCACTGCTGATTTGATTTGTAAATTCTGATAATGTAACCTTTCCTAAAGTTATAAGATCTAAAGCACAGAAAAAGATCCTTCAGCCCATCACATCCATGCAAGTCAAAAACAACCACCCAGGTACTGTAATCCCATTTTCCAGCACTTGGTTCATAGCCTTGTATGCCTTGGCATCGCAAATAAACTTCTTAAATGTTATATGGGTTTTTGCTTCTAACACACTTACAGGCAGTAAGTTCCAGATTCCTTCCACTCTCTGGATGAAGAAGTTTCTCCTCACATCTCTTTGAAATTTTCTGCCCCTTGCGTTAAATCTATGTACCCTGGTCATTGACCCCTTCTTCAAGAAGAAAAGTTTCCTCCTGTCTACCCTATCCATGCCTCTTGTAATTTCATACATCTCAATCATGATCCCTCTCAATCTCCTCTGTTCTAAGGGAGTCTGTCCAATTTCCCTTCATAACTGAAACCTTATAGCCTGGGCAACATCCTGGTAAATCTCCTCTACACCTTGTCCAGTATGAATCACATCCCTCCTTACTGTGGATTCTGGAACTGCACACAACTCTAACTGTGGCCTAACCAACATTTTACACAGTCCTTGCATAACCTCACTGCTCTTAAACTGTCTGCTTGCCTTTATTAGTTCAGGCATGGGGAGGTGATGGCGTTGTGGTATCGCTGAACTGTTAAGCCAGAGACCCGGGTAATGTTCTGGAATGCATCTGGTTCAGTAATGTCATTTAGGGAAGAAAAGTGACCATACCTGGTCTGGCCTATATGTGACTGCAGACCCACAGCAATGTGGTTGACTCTTACCTGCCCTCTGGACTGCTAGGGATGGACAATAAATGCAGGCCAAGCTGGCAATGCCTTCACTCCATGAATGAATTTTTTCAAGAAGTATACTGTATGCTATCTTAATCACATTATCAACCTGTCCTGATACATTGAGAGACTGGTGTGCATTCACAGCAAGGTTCCCCTGATCCTTGTTTATTATGCATTCCCTTTGCCTTGTTTGTCCTGCCCAAGTGTATCACCTCACGTTTATCTGGATTGAATTCCATTTGCCACTATCAGCCCATCTATAGCCTCTTGTAGTCAAGGCTACCCTCCTCACTATTTTCCATGCCACCAATTGTTGTATCATCTGCAAACTTACTGACCAACCCTCCTACATTGAACTCTAAATCATTTATATAAACCACAAAGAGCAAGGACCCCATCACTGACTCCTGTGGGACCCCATTTGGCACACTTCTATTTGGATAAATGCTCCTCAACCATCACTGTCTGCTTCCTGCCACTCAACCACTTATAGATCCAATTTGCCAAATTTCCTTGGATCTCATGGGTTCTTATTTTTGCTGTCAGTCTCTGATGTGGGGCCTTATCGAAGGCCGAGCTAAAGTAGACTCGAATAAAAACATTGCCCTCATCTACACATTGGTCATCTCTTCATCTCTTCAAAAAAAGTTCAACCAAGTTGGTCTGACATGTCCTCCCCTTAACAAACCATGCCAACTGTTCTTGATTTACCCCTGCTTCTTCAAATGCAGATTAACTCCGTCCTTCAGAATTTCTTCCAGTAATAGACTGGCCTGTAGTTTCCTGGTTTATTCCTTGCTCCCTTCTTGAATAACAATATCACATTGGCTATCCTCCAGTTCTCTGGCACCTCTCCTGTGGCCAGAGAGAAATTGAAAATTTTTGCAAGCATTCCTGCTAATTTATTCCTTGCCTCACTTGCAAACCTGGGAACATTTCATCCAGCCCTGGAGATTTATCTGCTATTAAGTCTGCCAGACTGCCCAAAGCATCCTCTCTATCTATCTAGTTAATCTTTTCAACTATATCATAGACCTGATTTCTTTACCCACAACGTTCCTCTCACTAATGGAAACCAACTCAAAGTATTAGAACCCTACCTATATCCTCTAGCTCCATAATCAAATTACTGTTGTGGTCCTTAATGGGCCCTACCCTTGCCCTTGTATACGGAGGTTCCTTTGTTCCTCAGTGTTTCTTAGGGATCTACCATTTACTGTGCATATCCTTCCCTTAATAGACCTACCAAAATGCACCACCTCACACTTTTCAGGATTAGATTCCTTCTCTGTTACTCTGCCAATTTAGCAACTGATCAATATCAGACTAACCCAAGACCATCTTTCTCACTATCAACAACACTGACAATTATTGTCATCTGCAGACTTACTAATTGTACCTTCTACATTCACATCTAAATTGTTAAATACTAGCAAACAAGAAGGGTCCCAGCTCTGATCCTGTGGTACATTGCTGGTCACAGGCTCCCAATCACAAAAACATCCCTCCACCATCACCCTTTGCCTCCTGATTGCAAGCCAATTTTGGATCCAGTTTGAGAACTTGCCTTGGATCCTATGGGCTGTTACCTTTTGGACCAGCCTTTCGTGTGGGACTTTGTCAGGGGCCTTACTGAAGCCCATGTAAACCACATTAACTGCACTAAGCTCATCAATATATTTAATCACCTTTTCAAAAAACTCAATTAAATTTGGATAGGATCTCCCTATAATAAATCCGTGCTGACTATTCCTGATCAGTCCTTTCCAAGATTAATCCTTTCCCTCAGAATTTTTCCAATAATTTCCCTGCTACTGATTTCAGACTAACTAGTCTGCAATTACCTGGCCTATCCCTGTTGCCCTTGAACAAAGAAACCACATTACCTATCCTCCATTCATCTGGCACTTCACCTGGCGCCAGCAAAGTATTAAATATTATCAGCCAGCGCCCCAGCAATCTCCTTCATTGCCTCCTGTAGCAGCCTGAGACACATCAGGCCCTGGGGATTTATGCACCTGCATGCCTGCTGAAATATCTAATACTTCCACTTTATTAATCTTAACATAGCCTAGAACCTGTCAATCTGAAATCCCCAGCTACAATGTCTTTCTCCTCTGTGAATGCAGATGAAGAGTGTTGATTTAAGATTCCACCCATGTCCTCTGGCTCCACACACAGGCCCTTTTGTTCTGTAATAGATCCCACCCTTTCCTGGTATCCCTGTTACTCTTAATATACTTATTTTTAAAAAAAAACCTTGATCCTACCTGCGAGAGATATTTTGTGCCCACTCTTTGGCCTCCTAATTTCTATTTTATCCAATCCCCTACTTTTGAAGATCCTTCCCTAGTTTTAGTGCACTGTACTTGATGTATGCTTCCTTTCTGTTTCTTTATCAAATGCATGATATATAGAATTCTGTGGACTTGCTGCCGTTGCCCCTCTGTCTTCAAGAAACACGACGACCCTTGAATTCACACTATACTACTTTAAAAGACTCCCGCTTTCCAAATGTAAACTTGCCTGTAAGTAGCTGCTCCCAGTTAATTTATGCCAAATCCTGTCTCATGATATTGAAATTGACCTTCCACCAGTTTAGACTTTTAACTTCTGCACTATCCTTATCCCCTTTCATAATGAGTTTGAAACTTCCAGAAGTATGGTCAATATCCCCAGAATGCTTGCTTACTGAAACTTCAACCACTTGACTGGCTTCACTTCCTACGATTAGATCTAACACTGCTTTATTTCTCGAAGGATTATCTGTGTATTGGCACAAAAAGAATGCTTTTAAAAAGTCCATGTTGTCCTGTCCAATCCTTTCATACTAAGGCGCTGCCAGTTAATGTTAGCAAAGTTGAAATCCCCTACAGCTATTACCCTGTTTCTTTCGCACTTTTCTGTGATTTCCCAACACATTTGCTCCTGTATCTTGCTCTGATAGTTTGGAGGTCTGTTGTATAATCTCATAAGAACACAAAAGAATATAAGAACCAGGAGTAGGAGTAGGCCGTCTGGCCGTTTGAGCCTGCTCCACCATTCAATAAGATCATGGCTGATCTTTTCATGGTCTTGGTTCCACTTACCCACCCTGTCACCCTTAATTCCTTTACTAGTCAAAAAATTACCCATCTTAGCTTTAAAAACACTCAATGGGGAAGTCTCAACTACTTCACTGGACAGGGAATTCCACAGATTCACAACCCTTTGGGTAAAGAAGTTCCTCCTCAATTCAGTCCTAACTGGTCGCCCTAATTTTGAGGCTATGCCCTCTTGTTCTAGTTTCACCAGTCAGTGGAAACAACCTTCCTGCTTCTATCTTATCTATTCCCTTCATAATTTTATACATTTCTATAAAATCCCCCCTCATTCTTCTAAATTCCAGTGAATATAATCCCAGTCTATTTAGCTTCTCCTCGTAAGCCAACCCTCTTAACTCCGGAATCAATGTAGTGAATCTCCTCCTGCGATCCCTTCCACTGCCAGTACATCCTTCCTCAAGTAAAGAGACCAAAACTGCGCACACTACTCCAGGTGTGGCCTCACCAGCACCCTCTACAGGTGCAACATAACCTCCCTGCTTTTAAACTCAATCCCTCTAGCAGTGAACAACAAAATTTCAGTTGTCTTCTTAATTATCTGCTGTACCTGCAAACCAGCCTTCTGTGGTTCATGCACAAGGACACCTAGGTCACAGCAGCATACTGCAATTTTTCACCTTTTCAAGTAGTAGACCTTTTTACTGTTATTCCTCCCAAAATGGATGACTTCACATTTATCAAAATTGAATTCTAACTGCCAGACCTTCACCCACTCACTTAAGCTATCTATATCCCTCTGCAACATTTGAGTCCTCCACCACTTTGCTCTACTACTCATCTTAGTGTCATCTGCAAACTTTGACACACTACAAGTGGTCCCCAAATCCAAATCATCTATGTAAATTATAAACAGTTGCGGCCCCAGCTCTGATCCCTGCGGCAGTGCACTTTCATGCCTTTTTTATTTCTAAGCTCTACCCAGCTGTCTTTTTAAAGACCCTTCCATGACCTCTTGATTACTTGCTTTCCTGGTTACTAACCTACAGTGATTCATGCACGAGAATACCCAGAACTCTCTGCATCTCAGAGCTTTGCAACCTCCCACCAGTTAGACAGTATTCTTTTTTATTCTTTTTCCCAAAATGGACAATTTCACACTTCTCAACATTGTACTCTATTTGCTTGATCTTTTCCCACTCATTTAACCTATCTATAACATTTTGAAGGCTCCTTATGTTCTTTTCACAACTCGCTCCCCTGCCTATCTTTGTGTCATTAACAAACTTAGCTACCATATCTTCAGTACCTTCATTCAATCATTTAGACAAATTGAGGCCCTGGTATCAACCCACATGGCACACTGCTCATGGTATCCTGCCGGCCTGAAAAAGACATATGTTCCTACTCTCTTCTTCTACTTAACTGCAAATCTGTCCATGCCAATATATTACTCCCTGCACCATGAGCTTTTATTTTCAACATTAACCTTTGATTTGGCACCTTAGCAAATGCCTTCTAGAAATCTAAGTATAATACACTGCTTTCCCCTTATCTACAGCACAAGTTATTTCTTCCAATTATTCTGGATGGCACTTTGCTGGCTGACATCACCCCTTAGTTGTTCTCGTCTATTTTTCATATTTCAAACTCCTTCACACGAGGAAATAGTTTCCCCCTATTTTTCTTTAATGCATTAAATCATCTTAAACATGCCAATTAGATCATTGTATTACCTTTGAAACACAGAGAATTCAAGCATAACGTATGGAATCTGTTCTTATAAATTTAGCTTTATAGCCTTGGCATAATTTTGGTGCATCTACAATGCACCCTCTCAAAGGTCAATTTACTCTTTTGGAAGAGCAGTTCCCAGACCTAATTGCAGTCTAACCAGATTTTTATATAACATCTGTATAAAATCAGTAACCACCCTTTTGCCTTCGAGGCCTGTGAAATAAGCAATAGTATTTCATTATCCTTTTAAATTTTTTGTAGCTGTTCAGATATCAAGATGTCCGGCCTGGACAGCTCTCAACAATATCCAATATGTGGAAGGATGTTGATAAATGTTGGACTTTCAGGAGTTGCTTGCTGATAGGATCTCCATTGATGCTAACTACTTGCCTGATAATCACAGAACTAGGTCACTACATTTTATGTCATTAGCCACAACACGAAGTTCTCATTTGCCAGAAGTCCACTGGTTGGACAGAATTTAATGCACTCATCACTTTGGTGGTGATAGTGTAATGTAGATCAATCTGAAGGGGCAGGTTGTAAAACCTTTCCAATCTTCTGCCCTGCCGTTATCCAGAGTTGAGGAAGGTTGAGAACAATCCTGCCTACAGGCCAGCAGGAGCTCTACCAGTGGCAAAGGGTGCTAGGACTACATGTTAACTCTAGGTAGGCCACCGTGTGAGCGCTTGAGTTGGTGGGGGTGAGGGGCGCGGGTGCGGGAAGTGGAAATGCTATTGTTTGAACACCTAGTTCCCATGGAGAGATCCTAGTGGTAGGTGCTGCCTCCCATCTTCCACTATGGCTACCACACTACTGGACCTCCCAGTGAGCTCTCCTCACTCACCTTTCCCTTCTGGGGGCCCCATTGCTCCCAGCAGTGCTGCCAGTTGCCCATCTGATTGGCCAGCAGACTTTGGACTGGATCTTCACGTTGCAGGGCCCTTAAACCCTGTCGACAGGCAGTGGATGGGCAGATGCCTATGTGATCTTATCAGCACTGCTTAAAAATACCACAGCCAGTTGACACTGGCATTCCAGCCAATTGACTTTGTGATTCCATCACATTGTATTCTTTCACTAAATGTTAGTTGGCATTTCCTCATTGCAGGGAAAACTCAGTGACCTTGAAGGATTATTTCATTATATTGATGACTTCATAGCTGTCAGGCACCAGTGAAAGGCACTGTGAGTGTGGAGCTGTTGAAGTAGATTATGTGTTATCCTGTGTGAGGAAAACAGCTTGTTCATCCATTGAAAACGATTATATTTTCGGGGATTAACATCTCAGCACTTCAAAAGAGTAGAGTCCTATAATGCAATGATGTCCTGCTCATTTTAACAGTGGCACCCAGAATTAAGCTGAGTTTTCAGGCAGTGTTCTATGCTGCAGTAGAAGTTGTTTTGTTGTCACAAGAAGCTCCATCAAGGTGGCTTCCACAGCCAATGAAGTGAATCATCGAGTCATGCAGCACGGAAGCAGACCCTTCAGTCATCCAGTCCATGCCGAATATAATCCCATACTAAACTAGTCCCGCCTGGCTGCTCCTGGCACATATTCTTCCAAACCTTTCCTATTCATCTATCTACCACTTCATCAGGAAGTTCATTCCACATGCGATCCACCCTGTTTCTCCTTAGCAAATATGTTGCTCCTTCACCAGTAGCAGTTTCTTGCATTATACTGCAACACTTCCTGCAAAATGGAATATGGTCATGTAGATATTGAGAGATATTTGGATAGTGTGGTTTTCATAGTTGAATAGCTGTTCTGGGACATGAGTTGTGGGAAGTTTGTTTACCAGGTTCGTGAAGGTGACATTAAAGAACTCAATATTCTGATTGTCACCGATTCCAGTTAGTGGAGAATGGGAGTGTTGTGAATTCAGCATTTAGTAAGGTTCTGAGTGGTGTGGCTGTTAAGAGAAGTCAGATCAATGATCTTTTAGTTGCTCTGCAGCCATATCCAAATATCCACTATACTTGCTCTCATCTCATTGATAAACTGTTGCTGTACATCATTACAAGTGGAAGGTTCTCGACTGCTTAGTGGTTGTAGTGGAGCTTCCCTGTCATCTACTTCCAGTGCAACAACAGAGAGCATTGGTGCATGCAGTCTACCAGCTTCTGCCAAGTAATCCTGTAGACAATGTCCATGCAATTTGCAGCCACATTGCGCGATTTGCAGCCACATTGCACAATTTGCAGTCACATGATGCACACACCTAATTTGGGGCTTCTTGAACAGTAAGATCATGCTGATTAATGGATTGACCAGGTTAATTAGCACAGATTTTACATGCTATCCTCAATGCAATCAATGCACAGTGATTAATAACACATCCTGTACCCTTTTACCCCTGGGAATCAATTTCCCTGAAAATGTGAATCCTTGAAAAACTTGTGTAATAGTACTCAATTTAGAATTTTTTGCAGGATATTGTTGCATTTATTTTATATGTAGTCTCACTTCATCATGTTACTAGAGTAGAAGGCTATTGCTTTGTGCACTCATGATCATACAGTTCATTATCTGTTGCATCACACCAAACGTACAAACAGAAATAAGGGCTCTTGTGGCACAGTGGTAGTTTCCTTACCTCTCCGCGAGGAATCCCGGGTTCAAGTCCCATCTATTCTCAAAGTGTGTAATAACATCTCTAAACAGATTGGTCAGAAAATGTCTAAAAATAATAATAATGATGAATGACTGTTCTCAGCTGGAAAATAGTTTGTGTCGTATGGTGACTTTAAAAAAAAGTTTAAAGGTGAGGGCCGTATAAATAATTTAACTAACATTTCTTGGCTACATGAAATAAAACCATTGATGTTGTTTCATTGTTTTGGAATCATATTCTTTGCTCTTCATAGGTTTTGTACAGCCAGCTAGAGAGCTTGGGAGTGGCTGTTAAGAAGACAGTAGTAGAGCGTTTTGTGGAATTTTACAAGACAATGTGGTCATTGAATGGACATAGTTTAAGCAAGATCTTCACAGGAAGTCGTGCAAAAGAGGGAAAAATGAAGGTAAAAGAAACAGCGTGCACTTGAAGTGTGAACACCACTTGAATATATCCAAATAGATGGCAATGGCATGGGATCTTGCTTTGTCCAGTTCTTGCACTGATCTTTGAGTTCTATGAAAAACGGGCCTTCAATGGAATGACAACTAACTTCCTACCCCTTGCATGTTCCCAATGTGTTGATATGTTTTCTATATTTAAATCTGTAGCTGCATATAAGAATTTCTTTATGCATCTTTTAAATGGGGTCATTTGGGTTTATCCTGTGCTCAAATTCACATTTGAAGTTAAATATGATTTGCAAATGTTGTCCAATTACACCATAATCCTGAGTATGCTAAGAATTATGTTGACAGCAAATTCAAGACTGTCAATCTGGCTGTGCAGATTGAACTTGGGAAGACATTAACAAATATATAGTTGTTTTCATTATATCTTGGGCTAGGAGCAAGAATAAGTAGCCAGAAATCCTACCTTGGCTCAGTATCCAATGATCCTGGTTGCAAAATGTTCACATTTATAAAGGTCAGAAGTCACACAACACCACGTTATAGTCCAACAGGTTTAGTTGAAATCACAAGCTTTCAGAGTGTTGCTCTTTCATCAGGTGAAGTGAAGAGAAGCACACAGGCACAGAATTTGTAGGCGGAGAAATCAAAAGATCATAAAATTTTTTTTCTTTATTCATTCACGGGATGAGGGCATCACTGGCTAGGCAGCATTTATTGCCCATCCCTAATTGCCCAGAAGGCAGTTGAGAGTCTGGTGTTACATAGTAGGACAGACCAGGTAAGGATGGCAGTTTCCTTCCCTAAAGGACATTAGTGAACCAGATGGGTTCTTCCAACAAACGACAATGGATTTTGGAGTAGATTTGTAGCTCGGGTTGTGGGTGTTGAGGTTGCTGAAGTTGGTTGGCTGGCTGGCGAACATCTGCGAAACAAGAAACCAGCTCGGCGAGCCAACCAACTTCAAAAGACAATGGATTCATGGTCTTATTAGACTCTTAATTCCAGATATATATTGAATTCAAATTCCACCATCTGCTGTGGCAGGATTTGAAACTGGGTCCCTGGAATGATATCTGTCTCTCTGGATTAACAGTCTATTGATGATGCCACTAGGCCATCGCCTCCCCTAGTGACAGAAAATTGGTGTGAGTGGAGTGTCAACTGGCTAAATAACAAGTCTCTGCAGGTGATCAAAAGTGTCAGATGGTGTGAGTAAAGTTGTAACAGCTGAATAGCAAGTGAAGGGATGACTTATGATCTGATTGATTTGAGGCAGAGAGATGATTACCAAAAATTGAAAATAGGATGGTGCTGGAGACCAACCAAATGGCTGGAATAACATGATAGATATATGATGAGTAATCCTAACAAGTAATCCTAAAATATATTAACTAATTAAGGTAGAGGATCATAACTGGTTATCAAGGTGATGGTGTCAAAACTGGACAGTAAGGAAGATTTTACAAATACAAAACAGTATGGTGGGGTTACATGTAGTGTGACATGAACCCAAGATCATGATTGAGGCCATTTTCATGGGTATGGGACTTGGCTATCAGTTTTTCCTCAGCGATTCTGTGTTGTTGTATATCTCGAAGGCCGCCTTGGAGGACACATACCCGAAGATTGGAGGCTGAATGTCTTTGACCGCTGAAGTATTCCCTGACTGGGAGGCAACATTATTGTCTGGCGATTGTTGCGTGGCATCTGCATGGTCTCACTAATATATCATGCTTCTGGGCATCCTTGTGTGCAACGTATAAGGTAGACAACATTGGCTGAGTATCTGCCGTATACATGGTGGGTGGTGTTCCCGCATGTGACGGCAGTATCCATTTCGATGATCTGGCATGTCTTACAGATGTTGCTGTGGCAGGTTTGTGCAGGGTTGTGGTCGATGTTGTCCTGAAGGTTGGGTAGTTTGCTGCAAACGATGGTCTGTTTAAGGTTTGGTGGTTGTTTGAAGGTGAGAAATGGAAGTGTAGGGATGACCTTGGCAAGGTGTTTGTCGTCATCAATGACATGTTGAAGGTGGCGAAGAACATGGCGTAGTTTCTCCACTCTGGGGAATTACTGAACAATGAAGCATACTGTCCTGTGCCTGTCTTCTGAGGAGGTTGTTGTGATTTTTCACTGTGGCACGTTGGAACTGGCAACTGATGAGTTGAGCATCATATTCCATTTTTATGAGGGCGACTTTCAGCATCTTTAGATGTCCATTGTGTTCCTTCTCGTTTGAGCACATCCTGTGTATACGTAGGGCTTGTCTGTAAGGGATGGCTTCTTTAACATTGTGATGGTGGAAGCTAGACCAGTGCAGCGTCATTAAGTTACCCATGGGCTTGCAGTAGAGTGAGGTGATTAAGTGCCTGTCCTTGATGGAGATGCATGTGTCCAAGACTGAGTGATTCTGAAGAGTAGTCCATGATAAGTCTGATGTAGGATGAAACTTGTTGATATTGTTGCGTAGTCCTTTCAGTGATTTCTTGCCATAAGTCCAAATGAAGACAATGTTGTCAATGTATCTGGTGTATAGCGTTGGTCCTGTGCAGCAAAGAAGTCTTGCTTGAACTTGTGTATGAAAATGTTGGCATATTGGGGTGCAGATTTTGTCCCTATGGCTGTTCATTGTGTCTAGTAGAAGAACTGGTTGTTAAAGGTGAAGACGTTGTGGTCGAGGATGAGACCACAGCAACCTCTGCAAGACCTTCCAGATCATCATCATGGATACTGCCATCACATGTGGGAACACCACCCACCATGTACATGGCAGATACTCATGTGACTCGGCCAATGTTGTCTACCTCCTATACTGCAGGCAAGGATGCCCCAAGGCATGGTATGTTGGCGAAACCATGCAGACACTACAACAATGGATGAATGGACACTGCGCAACAATCGCCAGATAGGAATGTTCCCTCCCAATCGGAGTACACTTCAGCTGTCAAGGACATTCAGCTTCCGATCTTCAAGTAAGCGTCCTCCAAGGCAGCCTTCGAGATGATAGATACACAACAAGGAAGAATCGCCAAGCAGAAACTGATAACCAAATCTTATTGACTGCACTGATTTGAACACCTGTACATTCATTTTTATTTCATATAATATTTCCAATGTCCAGAATCTCAGAGTGGTAGACAGGCTGCCAGACCTGCTGATGATCTCCAGCACACTGTTTTTGGTTCAGATCTCCAGCATCTGTGCTTCTTTGTTTTATTTAATTATGGCTTATAGCAATACAGGATATATAATAAAATTGATTGTGATGAGTTATAAGGGGCTAGATAATGTGAACTGAGTCGGATTGACTAGGAAAAAAGGAGGGCAAGTATAACCTTAGTGACTTTCCTGACCTGGTAAGATTATAGAACTGCTTGCGGCACTGAATCCGTGTCCTCAGGATCACGCTCCTGATTCTGATCTTCTCTGGAATTTCCAGACAGACCTTAGTGATGGTGGCACCAGACTTCATTTTGCCACTGTTAGGGCAGCACTGCTCTCCTGCTCTTTACTGCCCACAGCAGTGTGTACAGAGACACATTAGATAATCTGAGAAGAAAGTCATTTGCTGGAAAGGGGGAAATCCCTATTCCAATATTGCATAGATTTTTCTGCATTAACTTGAGCAGGCAGGCAAAAAACTTTTCTCAATCAAAGATGATGTCTCCAATTGTGCAACAAATATTTGTGATAAGATCCCATGAGTTTTAGATTGAGCTAAGGAACTATAACCTGACTCAAGCTGCCACTTTACTAGCTGGAAAATGTGAACATTGAATTAAAATGGGACTGTTCCTATAAACTCTATTAATGAAGTACTTGTTTTTGTTAAGGTAAAAGATGGAGCACGTTCTGTATCCAGAACAGTCCAGGCCAATTTCTTTGGAGCCAAACAAGAAGCTATTGACTTGCTCCTCATGGGGGATTTTTATAGTGAAGATTACGCAGATAAGGCAAGGGTGCTGATGGACAGCAGTGCACTTTTCAGTAAGTAGACATATTCATGACTCCCTCATCACAATGTTTCCTACAGTAATTTTTCCAGACCAGGACTTTTTAAAACTGTTAAATTTCTGCTTTATTTATAAGTCTTGCCTTCTCTTCTGGTTTTTTCACTCATGGTGGCATACTGTGTTCTTTAAACCAATGTATAACATGAAATGGTAAATTCTAATTGTTCCATTGTCCAGCAGCACCTCCTGGGATTTTGGAAGCTATGTGTGAACGACAGATAAAATACACTAATGTCAAGAGCACTCGCATCAGCATTGGCACATGGAACGTAAATGGTGGTAAACAGTTCAGAAGCAACATGCTGAATACTGCCGAACTCAGTAGCTGGTTACTTGATGCTTTCAAAGAGAATGAAACATCCAAACTCCCAGGTAAGCTGTGGAACTTAACTTTTCATGCTTAGCTGAATATATTGTTATTCTGAACTCTTCATCCATCCTTCATCCACAGAATGGATGATGCATTTCATTTAAATTGTCAGGTATAAATACTCTGTAAACTACTTAATATACTGGAATAATGGTTGTATTGTGAAATTTCAGCGAGTGCATTGAGATACAGAGAAAATCCGCATAACCTAGGATATTGCTGGCACAGAATCATGTGCTGAAATACCACAAAGACCTGAACAGCAAATCAGAATAACTTTATCACTAGAATATTAACTAGAACGAAAAGGGATTTAAGACGCTGATAATGAGTTCTTTTCTGAGTGGTCATGAATCTCTGGATCTCTCTTCCATAGAAAGCTGTGGCGGTGAGGTCATTGAATATTTTTAATGCAGAGGTAGATAGATTTTTGACTAGCAAAGCAGCCAGTGGTTATGGTTGGGGCAGGAGTGTGGAATTTGTGCCGCAGTCAGATCAGCCATGATTTTATTGAATGTTCAAATAGGCTGCAGAAGTGAAATGACTGCTCCTGCTCCTAAATGTTAGATTATTAGCATGGGGGGTAATGCTACAACATATTGAGCTCCAGTGCATTTTTAAATGAAGCGATAAGGTTTCAGCAGCACGTCTCTGTTGGTGAGTTCCTATTTTATACCATTTTAGAGAGATAAGGGCTACCTTCAATATCACCATAATAATTGGAGGGAAAAAGTGAAGTCACCCTGCTGCTGCATTTTATTTTAACAATGTCCCATCAGCAGGTTGAAAAAATATCAGATGTTGGAAATATGAATTTATGGATTAGGAGAAGTAGCCCATTTGACTCTTTCTGTGAACGAATAAGGTCATGGGTAAGAGCAAATTACTGCAGACACTGGAACCTGAACAGAAAACAAAAATGTTGGTAATCACAGCAGGTCAGGCAGCATCCATGGAGAGAAAGCAAGTTAACGTTTTGAGTCGAGATGACTGTTAATTAGAGCTCTGATGAAGAGTCATCTAGAAAGAGTCATCTAGACTCGAAACGTTAACTTGCTTTCTCTCCATGGATGCTGCCTGACCCACTGTGATCTCCAGCATTTTTTGTTTTAAGGCCATGGGTAATCTGTTTGTATTCACATTGCATATTTCCATCTATTGCTAATAACCTTTGATTCCCCCACCTAACAAGAATCTATCCGTGTCCATCTTAAAATATTCAGTGACCCTGCCTCCACTGCTTTGAGGCAGAGACTGCAAGTCACACAAATCTCCGGGGGGGGGGGGGGGTTTGAAAAAAATCCCCCATCTCTAATCCTAAAATGACACCTAATTTTAAAATGTGTCCCTAATTCTGAGCTGATCCACAACGGTACACAGCCTTTCAACATCCACCTTGTCAAGATCATTGAGGACCTGATAAACTTCAATCAAATCACTTTCTGTCTTTTTTAAATTCTGGTGAAAGCAAATCCAGCCTATTCAATCTTTCATCAAAAGAATACCTGTTCAGTTCAAGTATCACTCCAGTAAACCTCTTGTGGATTGCCTTCAACATTTATAGCTTTCTTTAAATAAGGAGACCAAAATTGTGCACACTCATCTCACAAAGGGTGGTGCGCATACAGAACAAGCTGCTACAGGAGTTGGTGGAGGCGGGTAGAATTACAGCATTTAAAAGGCATCTGGATGGGTAAATGAATAGGAATGATTTAGAGGAATATGGGGCATTTGCTGGCAAACGGAACTAAATTTATTTAGGATATCTGGTTGGCATGGACAAGTTGGACTGAAGGGTCTGTTTCTGTGCTGTATAACTCTGACGCTATGTGTTCTCTCCACTGCACTATATCCTGAAGCATTAACATCCTTGATCTTATATTCAATTTCTTTTGTATTAAAGGACAGCGTTCCATCAGCCACCTTAATCACTTGCTGTACTTGTTCACTAACTTTTTGTGACTCATGTCTCAGAAACCTAGATCCCTCGGCTCCTTAGAGCTTGACAGTCATTCACCATTCAGATAATAATCTGCTTTTCTATTCTTCCTGCCAAAGTGAGCAACTTCTCATTTTCTCACATTATACTCCATCTGCCAGATTTTTGCTCACTCATTCAACCTGTCATGTCATGACATATTTTCCTACCTATCTTCTCATTGCCTGCAAACTTACCCACCTTCTCTTCAACGCCCTCATCAAATTCACTGATCTAAATTGTAAAATACTGAGGGAACAGCAGAGACTTCTGTGAGCCACCACTTATCGCATCCTGTCAATCTGGAAAAGATTATCTAAACTCTACTTTCTGCTAGCCAACCAGCCAATCTTCTCTGTGCTAGTATGTTTCTCCTCATAATTTATACAACAAACTTTTATGTGAGATCTTCTCAAAACCCTTCTGTAATTACAAGTTACAGTAGATCAACGGGATTCCCTTTATTCACAGCACATTACTCTTTCAAAGAATTAAAATAAATTGGTTAAACAGGGTTTCCCTTTCGTGAAACTATGCTGATTCTTGCCAATTATCTTGAAGTTTTCCAAGTGCCCAGTTATAACCTCCTCCTTAATGATTGATTCCTATACCTTCCACATAACAGACATGAAGTTAAGTGACTTACAGTTCCTGTTTCGAACTTCCTTCCTTAAATAGAGCGAATATGTTTGTTACTGAACAGGATCTAAGACATTTTGGAAAATTAATAGCATCACATCTTTTACCTCTTACTAGCAACTGCTTTTAAGACTCTAGGATAAGACATCAGGACTTGGAGACTTACCAACCTGAAGCTCCATCAGTTTACTCCGTACTATTGCTGTAGTAATTATAATATTACCAAGTTCCTCTCTTCCTTCAGCCTCCTGATTTACAGGTATTACTGGAATGTTTTTGTAATTAAACATTACTAAAAGGAGAGTAGAAATTGTCTTGTACTGATCAGAACAAGACTGCAAGAAACAAATTTGTGTTTTGTATAGCATGAGAGAGGGTGCTGATTGGTTGGTCAGTCATTGGTATGGAGATGCAGCAAGACACTTAAATCAATCTTAGTTCTCAGACCAGGCAGGCAGATATTGATTGCTCGGGATATTGCCATGGGGATGCAGCAGAGTTTGGCTGTCTTCGCGACCATCCAAATTTCTTTTGCCAACTTAAAACTGTCCTAAGTATTGATACATGTAGCTTCTAGCGTGTGCAAATCCATCACACCGTGAGACTGATTGATGATCTTTAATTTTGTTTCGACTGTAATTCTTAGCGCAGTGCAGATCATTTAATTATGGTTTCCAATAGTAGAAATTAGCGTGTGTACATTACTGAGGCTTGTAAACATGGGCTGGTTAGAATAAAGAACAATACAGCACAGGAACAGGCCCTTTGGCCCTCCAAGCCTGCGCCGACGCATTTTGTTTCTGTACTAAAATTGTCTTCACTTCCAGGATCCGTATCCCTCTATTCCCTTCCTATTCATGTACTTTTCCAGGTGTTTCTTGAATGCTGCTATTGTGTCTGCTTCCACCACCTCTGGAAGTGTACTCCAGGCACTCACCACCCATTATGTGAAAAACTTGCCTCTCACAACTCTTTTAAACTTCTTCCCCTGCACCTTGAACCTAAGTCCCCTAGTAATTGACTCCTCCACCCTGGTAAAAAGCCTCATACTTACCACCCTATACATGCCATTCACAATCTTATTAATTTCTATCAGGTCGCCCCTCAACCTCCTGCGTTCCGGTGAAAACAAACCCAGCCTATCCAACCTTTCTTCATAGCTAAAAGCCCGCATACCAGGTAACATCCTGGTAAACCTTTTCTGTACCTTCTCTAAAACATTCACATCTTTCTGGTAGTGTGGTGACCAGAATCGTACACAATATTCCAAGTGTGGCCTAACTGAAGTTCTATAAAGCTTCAGTATGACTTGTCTATCCATGTACTCAATGCCCCTTCTAATGAAGGCAAGCATGCCATAGGCCTTTTTTACTACCTTATCAACCTGCTCTGAAATCTTCAATGATCTGTGGATAGCATACCCAGATCCCACTGTATCTCAATACCGCTAAGGGTTCTGCCATTCACTGTACAATTTCCACCTGTACTTAACCTTCTAAAATACATCAACTAACATTTGTCCAGTCTAAACTCCATCTACCACTTTTCTGCCCATGCCTCCAACTGATCTATATCCTGCTGTATCCTCTGACAATCCTCCTCACTATCTGCAACTCCATCAATCTTTGTATCATCCGCAAACTTGCTAATTAGACTAGCCGCATTTTCCTCCCAAATTATTTATGTAGACCACGAATAGCCGAGGTCCAGCAGTGATCCCTGTGCAACACAACTAGTCACAACCCTCCATTCTGAAAAGCATTCTTCCACCGCCACCCTGTGTCTCCTATGACTAAGTCAGTTCTGTATCCATCTTGCCAGCTCACCTTGATACCATGTGACTTCACTTTTTTTTAACCTGTCTGCCATGAGGGATCTTGTCAAAGGCTTTGCTGAAGTCCATGTTGACAACATCAACCACTTTTCACTCATCAATCAAGTTAGTGAGGCACAACCTCCCCTGCACAAAACCATGCTGCCTGTCGCGAATAAGTCCATTTGCTTCTAAATGCATATAGATCTTGGCCCTACGAAACTTCTCCAATAATTTCCCTACCACTGATGTAAAGCTCAGGGGCCTGTAATTTCCTGGATTATCCCTGCTACCCTTCTTAAACAATGAGACAACATTGGCTGTTCTCCAGTTCACTGGGACCTCACCTGTAGCCAAAAAGGATACAAAGGTGTCTGTCGATGCTCCAGCAATTTGTTCCCTTACCTATGTCAATATTCTGGAATAGATCCCATCACAATCCAGGGCCTCAGCTACCTTAATACATTTTAAGACACACAACACCTCTTCCTTTTTAATAGCAACTTAGCTTAGAAATTTGACACTCCCTCCCCCGAGGTCATCCTCCACCAGTTCCTTCTCTTTAGGACCTCATCTACCTCCTCTGGTTCCACACACAGATTCTGTCCTTTGTCCTTGAGTGGGCCATGCCTTTCCCTGTCTACCCTCTTGCTTTTTATCAATGTATAAAAAACCTTGGGATTCTCTTTAATCCTGTTTGCTAACAACTTTTCATGACCCCTTTTAGCCTTTCTAATTCCTTGTTTAATTTCTTTTCTGGTTTTCTTGTGTATTTCAAGGGCTTCATCCATGCCCATCCGCCTAGACCTTACATATGCTTCCTTTTTCGTTTTCTTTTTGACCAAGGTCATAAACATCCCTGGTCATCCAAGATTCACGTAAGTTGCCATACCTATCCTTCATTCTCACAGAACGTGCCGCTCCTCAACTCTTAACAACTGCCATTTGAAATATCCCACATATCAAGTATGGATTTACCCTTAAACAGCCGCCTTCAATCAACCTTCTCCAGTTCCTGCCTAATTGTTGTAGTTCATCTTTCCCCAGTTTAATACCTTCACCGAGGACTACTGTTATTCCTATCCATAAGCATCTTAAAACTCTGTGTTATGGTCACTACTTCCAAAATGCTCCCCCACTGAAACTTCACTCACCTAGCCAGACTCCTTTCCCAAAACTAGGTCCAGTATAACCCCTCCCCTTGTTGGACTGTTTACATATTGTGTCAAGAAACCCTCCTGAATGGTCCTTACAAATTCTTCCCCATCCAAGCCCCTAGCATGAAGTGAGTCCCAGTCAATATAGGGAAAGTTAAAATACCCACCACCACAACCCTGCTATTTTTACATATTTCCCAAATCTCTCTACGCATTCTCTCCTCTATCTCCTGCTGGCTGTTGGGAGGCCTATTGTATACCCCAGCACTGTGAATTCACCTTTTCCTATTCCTGAGTTCTACCCATATTACCTCGATGCACGAGTCCTCTGATGTATCCTCTCTCAGTACAGCTGTGAGGTACTCCATTACCAGTAATGCAACTCCCCCACCCCTTTTACATCCTCTTCTATCACACCCAAAACATCTAAATCCTGGGATATCCAGCTGCCAGTCCTGTCCCTCTTTCGGCCAAGTCATGGTCATGCTTGATCATGAATGTCATGTTGCTAGGTGTGTATGTTCAACAAGACATAGTGTTTGATATGATTCACCACTCATTGGCTGCGTCATTGAATTTTTTCAATACTGGGTTAAATAGATTATGGGATTATGCAGGGCAAACTGGAAAGTGGAATTGAAACCACAATCACATCAGACTGATCTTAATGAATTGTGGAGCAGGCTTGAAGGGGTGAATGACCTACTCTCGCTCCAAAGTCCTATGTTCCTTTGTAATCAAATCAAGAAGCAGGAAGATGGCAAGCTTCCCACCCATCCCCTGCCTGATTAAAAGTTCTCCCACCACCAATCCAGGTTGAGGACATAAATTCCTCCCAACATGTGATTACAATTATTACTGTAATTCTGCACCATCTATTAAACTTTGATTTTTTTCATCATTGCATAGATAATGAGAACTGCCCACCAGATATCTTTGCTATTGGATTTCAAGAAATGGTGGAACTTAATGCAGGGAACATTGTAAATGCTAGGTGAGCAACTCTCCCCTCTTATTTTGGTTTCAGTTGACCATATTTAAATGGCTTGTTTGATGTTATGTGATTCTAAGTGGGTGATTAATGTTTTCTTTGTTGCCCTCTTGGTAACATATTTGATGTCAGTCATAATTATTTGAATTGGGACTAATTAAAAGGCACAACATTTACTTCATTGCCATCCTAATTCAAGATTTATGAATGTATTCAATATGCTAATAGTGACCATACTATCAGTGCTAATCTATCTCAATTTACTGATGGAAAATTAATAAAAATCCTAATGCTGGAAATCTAAAATTAAAACATCCACTATGAATATTTTATGTCAAATTAGATTTTTACACAGTTTTCCATTTATCTTAATACCTTAGATATTACTGGCTGATCCAGCAAGTTCTTTAATATGTTTAATAAATCACTTACAAACTTATTTTTTACATTTCAGCACAACTAACAAGAAAATGTGGGCAGAACAGCTTCAGAAGGCAATATCTAGAACGCATAAGTACATCCTGCTGTCTTCAGGACAACTTGTTGGTGTCTGTCTGTATATCTTTGTCCGACTCCATCATGTACCCCACATTAGGTTAGGAACTCGTACTAATCACTAAATTTGATTTTGATCAATTGTTGTTAAAAACACATTTGGTCCAATAAATGTCCTGTGGTAATGAAGTCTACCATCCTTATCCAATCTTACCTACATGTGACCCCAGACCAAGAGCAATGTGATTGACTTTTAACCACCCCCTGAAAGGTCCAGTAATCCACTCACTTCAAAGGCATGTAGGAATGGGAAACAAACACTGGCCTTACCAGTAGTGCCCACATTCCATGAAAGAATTTAAAAACAATCTTGGGCTCATAATCTTCTCTGACGACCTTATCCATTGATGAAGTTGGGTAGAGGTCCCTCCACTAGCTTCTGAATATTCTGGCTGAAAGATGAGGACAAAGAACAAAGAAAATTTCAGCACAGGATCAGGCCCTTCGGCCCTCCAAGCCTGCACCGATCCAGATCCTCTATCTAAATCTGTGACCTATTTTCCAAGGATCTGTATCCCTATGCTCCCTGCCCATTCACCTATCTAGACAGATACATCTTAAATGACGCTACCGTGCCCGCCTCTACCGCCTCCACTGGCAACGCGTTCTAGTCACCCACCACCCTCTACGTAAAGAACTTTCCACGCGTATCTCCCTTAAACTTTACCCCTCTCACCTTGAAATTGTGACCCCTAGTAATTGAGTCCCCCACTCTGGGGAAAATGCTTCTTGCTATCCACCCTGTCTATACCTCTCATGATTTTGTAGACCTCAATCAGGTCCCCCCTCAACCTCCGTCTTTCTAATGTAAATAATCCTAATCTACTCAACCTCTCTTCATAGCTAGCGCCCTCCATACCAGGCAACATCCTGGTGAACCTCCTCTGCACCCTCTCCAAAGCATCCACATCCTTTTGGTAATGTGGCAACCAGAACTGTACACAGTATTCCAAATGTGGCCGAACCAAAGTCCTATACAACTGTAACATGACTTGTCAACTCTTGTACTCAATACCCTGTCTGTTGAATGAAAGTATGCCATATGCCTTCTTGACCACTCTATCGACCTGCGTTGCCACCTTCAGGGTACAATGGGCCTGAACACCCAGATCTCTCTGTGCATCAATTTTCCCCAGGGCTTTTCCATTTACCGTATAGTTCGCTCTTGAATTGGATCTTCCAAAATGCATCACCTCACATTTGCCTGGATTGAACTCCATCTGCCATTTCTCTGCCCAACTCTCCAATCTATTGATATTCTGCTGCATTCTCCGACAGTCCCCTTCACTATCTGCTACTCCACCAATCTTAGTGTCATCTGCAAACTTGCTAATCAGACCATCTATACCTTCCTCCAGATCATTTATGTACATCACAAACAACAGTGGTCCCAACACAGATCCCTGTGGAACACCACTGGCCACAGTTCTCCATTTTGAGGAACTCCCTTCCACTACAACCCTCTGTCTCCTGTTGCCCAGTAACACCTGGGCTAGTACACCCTGGACCCCATGCGACTTCACTTTCTCTGTCAGCCTACCATGGGGACCCTTATCAAACGCCTTACTGAAGTCCAGGCAGTCAAGAGGGCAGTCAATTGGTAAATTCGAGGGCAGTCAATTGGTAAATTCGAGGGCAGTCAATTGGTAAATTCGAGGGCAGTCAATTGGTAAATTCGAGGGCAGTCAATTGGTAAATTCAAGAGTAAGATCAATAAATTTCTGGGCATCAGGAGCACTGAGAGATGGAGATACTGAAGGAAAATGGAGTTAATTTTTAAAAAGTTTTGCTGTGATCTTATCAAGTAGCCAGGCTTGCTCCAGTTTCTTCTGGTCGTAATAAATAAAACAAGTGGGGAAATGGGAAATAAAATGTAAAGAACAGACCTGTTTCATGTTTCTTTTGCAGAGAGGTTGCTGTGGATAGGGTGAAGACTGGGATGGGAGGAAAGGCTGGGAACAAAGGAGCAGTGGCAGTTCGGCTGCAGTTTTACAGCAGCACACTCTGCTTCATATGTGCCCATCTGACAGCTGGACAATCACAAGTGAAAGAAAGAAATGAAGATTATAGAGAAATCATGCAGAAACTCAGCTTCCCAATGGTATTTATTCTTTCTGCACAGTTACATTTTAGTCACTTAACATTCTGTTTACCTCTGGAACCAGATTTAAATCTCGCCCAAGAATTAAGATGATGGATTCTCCGTTGATTTTGTTTAGATTTTCTGTTTTCTGCCTGTGAATCGTATATAAATGAGTTTAGTTTATTCCAGCATGGTTTCATTGCTCATTGCACAAAACTGTTCATCAACTAGCACTGAAAGGCTATTTTAATCAGGATTTTGAGCATAGAAATTGATAATATCCTAAGGGTACATCAAAACAGAGTAAGAAAACAACCAAAAGTTAGGAGAAGACTTTAATATCATGGCCATTACTAGTTTGATTAAATTTATTAGAAATAAGGCATGATGGATGAGTATTGATATGAAAAATATAACGGCAGATCAAGCATCAGAACATGAATGGAAAAAGTTAGGTGAGAAAAATGCTGCATTTTGAAGTGAAATCAAAAATGTATATGCAAGGGTAAGAATTGGAAATGAAGATGATACAAGGAAATGATAACTTGTGTTAATTCAGCAACAATAACCTATAAAGAGGCTTCACATTAAGAAGGTGGGGACGATGGAGACGATGGAGGCTGTGGACAGATTTGACGATGCGCTATTTTAAAATTTGTTGTGGCCGTTGTGTAATGTCAACATTTATTATCCATTTTTAATTGTCCTTCAGAAGATGGTAATGAGTCAACTTTTTAAAACCACTGTAATCTGTATGGGAAGATTCCCATGCAGTGCTGTTAGGTAAGGAATTTATAGGACTTGGACCCAGCAACAGTGAGAGAGAAGTGATAATAGTCATAGAGCGCGGAAACAGATTCTTCGGTCCAACCAGTCCGTGCCGAACATAATCCCAAACTGAGCTATTCCCACCTGCCTGCTCCTGTCCCATTTCCCTCCAAACCGTTCCTATTCATATATCCATCCAAATGTCTTTTAAACCTTGTAATTGTACCTGCATCGACCACTTCATCAGAAAGTCCATTCCACACGTGAACCACCCTCTGTGTAAAAAATTTGTCTTGTGTCTTTTTTAAATCAATCTCACTTCATCTTAAAAATGTGTCCCCTAGCCTTGAAATTTCCAATCTTAGGGAAAAGACAACTATCATCAACTCTATCTCTACCTCTCATTATTTTGTAAACTTCCATCAGGTCACCTCTCAATCCCCTATGCTCCAGTAAGAAAAGTCCCAGTCTACGCAGCTTTTCCTTATAACTCAAACCCTCTATACCTGGCAACATCCTGATAAATCGCTTCTGATCCTTTCCAGCTTGATAATAGGCATGGTGGCTCAGTGGTTAGCACTGCTGCCTCACAGTGCAAGGGACCTGGGTTCAATTCTGCCCTCGGGCAACTGTCTGTGTGGAGTTTGCCCGTCCTCTGCGTGGGTTTCTTCCGGGTGCTCTGGTTTCCTCCCACAGTCCAAAGATGTGCAGGCTAGGTGGATTGGCCATGCTAAATTGCCTGTAGTGTTCAGGGATGTGTAGATTAGGTGGGTTTATTGGGGGATGGATCTGAGTGGGAGCTGTGAGGACTTGTTGGGCTGAAGGGCCTGTTTCCACACTGCAGCCTCAACATCCCATACTCCTATGCTCAAAGGACTGAGCAACGAAGGCAAGTGTGCCGAATGCCTTTTTAACAATCCTGTCTATATGTAATCATAGAATCCCTACATTGTGGAAAACAGGCCCTTCAGCCCAACAAGTCCGCACCCACCCAAACCCATCCCCCTCTAATCTACACATCCTTGAACAAAACGGGCAATTTAGCATGATCAATCCACCTAGCCTGCACATCTTTGGACTGTGGGAGGAAACCGGAGCACCCAGAGGAAACCCCACGCAGACACAGGGAGAATGTGTAAACTCCACACAGACAGTCGCCCGAGGGTGGTATTGAACCCTGGTCCCTGGCGCTGTGAGGCAGCAGTGCTAGCCACTGTGCCGCCCCCAATGTGATGTGATTAAAACTTTAAAGAACTATGTACCTGCACACCTCGGTCCCTCTGTTCTATAACACTATCCAAGGCCCTACTATTAATTGCATAAACCCTACCCTTGTTTGTTGTACCAAAATGCAATACCTAGCATTTATCCAGATTGAACTCCATGTGCCATTTTTCAACCCATTGACCCATTTGGTCAATATCCCTTTGTAATCTTAAAGAACCTCCTTCACTGTCTACTATGCCAACAATTCTGGTGTCATCTGCAAACTTACTAACCATACCTTCTATATTCTAATCCAAATCATTTATTTAAATGACAAAAAAAAGGACCTAGAACCGATCCCTGTGGAACACGGCTGGTCACGCCTCCAGTCCGAAAAGCAGCCCCCCACTATTATTCTCTGTTTCTTGCCATTAAGCCAATTATTTATCCAATTGACAAGCTAACCCTGAATTCCATGTGACCTAACTTTACAAATTCGTCTACCATGCGAACTATGTCAAAGGCTTTACTAAAATCCAAATAAAAAACATCTACTGCTCTGCCATCATCAACCTTTTTGGTAACTTCCTCAAAAAACTCCGTCAAGTTTGTGAGACACAAACCATGAACAAAACCATGCTGAATATCTCTAATCAGTACTTTTTGCCTCTCTAAATGTCCATAAATCCTATCTTTTATAATCACCACCAACAAGTTATCCACAACCAAAGTCAGACTCACAGGTCCACAGTTCCCAGTTTCTCCTTACCATCTTTCTTAAACAAAGGTATAGTATTAGCCACCCTCCAGTCATCAGTCATCATCCGTAGTTATAGATAATGCAAATATTTCTGCAAGGTGTCTAATAATTCCCTCCCTTACTTCCCACAACATTCTGAGATACATTAGATCAGATCCCAGAGATTTATCCACATTTTATATTCTCTAAGACCTCCCAAACTTCCACTTCTGTAATGTGAACTGTTTTTAAAACACCAAAGTTTATTTCTCTGTATTCTCTAGACTCCATTTTTCTCCACAGAGAAAACTGACACGAAATATTCATTTAGTATCTCTCCCATCTCCTGGGGTTCAACGCAAAGATGACCTCCTTGATCTTTAAGAGGCCCAACCCTCTCTCTAGTTACCCTCTTGCTCTTAATGTATTTGTAGAATTGCTTTGGATTATCCTTAACCTTATCTGCCAGTGCTGCCTTATATCCCCTGTTTGCCTTCCTGATTTTTCTCTTAAGAATGCCCCTACACTGTCTATATTGATTTAAGAGATTCAGTTGAGCCAAGTTGCCTACATCTAACAAAAGATTCTCTTTTCTTCTTGACTAGAACCTCAGTATTTTTATTCATCCATTGTTCCTTAATTTTACCAGCCTTACCCTTCACTCTAACAGGAGCAAAATGCGTCTGAACTCTTGTCATCTTGAATGCCTCCCACTTGTGAGATATCTTTTTACCTGTGGGGATCGTGTGTAAAGAGCCTTGGAGGTGGTTGTGCTCCTGTGGGCTTGCTGCCCTTCTAGGTGATTGAGGCAATGGGTTGGGAGGCGCTGTTGAAAATGACTCGGACTTGCTACAGTGGAATAAAGGCACCAAGATTCAGTTACAAGATTAGATAACTAAAGCTTGTGCATTCTCCTTGGAGCAAAGGAAATTGAGGGAGATTTGACAGAGATGGGCAAGATTAGGACAAGTTTATGTAAGGTAGGCACAGAAAACTATGTATTAGCTGATGAAGCAAGTATTAGGAGACAGATTTAGGATTTTAAGTAAAGAGATGTAAGGAGAGTATGAGGAGGAGCTTTTTTATTCAGTGAGTGAGAACGAAATAGAATTTACAGTATTAACAAAAGCAATGAATAATTTCAAAAGGATATTGGGTGGGCACTTGAAAGAAAGAAATTAAATGGCCTTGAGCAGGGAAGTGGACTGACTGGACTGCTTTGTGGTGAGCCAGGATATACTCCGTTAGTTGAAGGCTGACCGCTGTGCTCTAAGTAATTCGATGACTCTAGGTGTAGTCTTTTTGAGTCTGTTCTGCCATTTGGTGAGATTTTGGCTAATCTGACCTGACACCACATACCTGCCTGTATGCCATATCATTTGATATATTTGACTAAAAAATTAATAATTCTCAGTTTTCAGATTAGTCGTTGATCCAGCAGTAACTGGTGCTGTCAGAAAAATATTGCAAACTTCTACCACCCTTCAGTAATTTTTTGATTTGCTCTGTCTAGAACCTTGTCTGATTGGCCTAACTGTAGTGTTTTGACTATGACCTAAGTCTTGTCCACATTAACTAGTGGGAAGAGAATCTCCTCCCAATTTTTCTTATCCATTCTCTTAATATTTTCGAAAATTCGATCAAATCATCTTATAATCTCCTACAGTCCAAGGAATACAAAACTAATTCGTGCAAAACAAAATCAAAATAAAAATAATTATTATGCTAGAAATCTGAAGAAAGTATTGCTGGAAATAATCAGTGGCTTAGACAATGTCTGTGGCGAAGAAAACGGAATTATCTTGCAGACTGATGAACTTTTATCTCTTCTTGTAATTTAAGCTTTGAAGTTCAAATTGCATTCTGGTGCATCTACACTTCACTGTCTCCAAGGCCGCCATAATCCTTCCAAAGACGTGGTGCCTGGAACTGCTCGTACTGTTTGACATGTAATCTAACAAGAGCTTTGCACAGTCGAAGCATGATGTCTATCTGTTTGTATTTAGTCCTCTACATAAAATGGCCAGAATTCAATCAGTGCATTTTATTAATTTCTGTTCTGTTCATTTTAATGATATCTGTACCTGATAAGTGTCGATGCCAGAAAGAAATGTGAATACAGTAAATGGCAACCTGCAGCATGAGAATGTCTGCAACAATCCTAAAGCACATGCTCATTTCATCAGCTTCAAGTGAAATGCATCAGCTCCCTTGGAATTCCAGTTCCAGTGATTCCCTCACATGGCAATAGATGACAGACTAGCGCATTTTGCAAATATTGCCTGCTCCAGCTTGGAACAAACATGAAACATATCAGTTTATTGCCATGGTCAATATCAGACGCTTTATTTTATAGTCACACATGGGATGTGGGTGTTGCTAGCTGAACCACCATTTATTGCCCATCCCTGGTTGCCCTTGAGAAGGTGGTGACAAACTGACTTCTTGAACTGCTGTCGCCCAATGCACTATAGGCGGATCCACAGTGTCGTTAGAGAGAGAATTTCAGGATTTTGACTTGACCAGGTTGAAAAAGTCAGGATGATGAGGGACTTATAGGGGAATTTGCATGTGGAAGTATTCCCATATATCTGCTGTCCTTGTCCTTCTATATGGAAGTGGTCATGAAATTGGAAGATGCTGTCTCAGGATCTTTGGCAAATTTTTGCAGAGCATATTGTAGATAGTACACATTGCTGCTATTAAGTATTAGTGGTGGAGGGAGTGGATGTTTTAGATGTGTTGCTAATCAAGCAGGCTGCTTTGTCCTGGATGGTGTCAAGCTTCTTGAGTGTTGTTGGAGCGGTACCCATCCAGGCAAGTAGAGGGTATTCCATCACACTCCTGACTTGTGCCTTGTAGTTTATGGACAGGTTTTGGGGAGGCTGAAATTGAGTTACTTGATGCAGTATTCCTAGTCTCTGGCCTGCTCTTGTAGCCACTGTATTTATATTGCAAGTCCATTTGAGTTTCTGGTCAGTGGTAACTCATAAGATGTTGATAGTGTGGGATTCAGTGAAGATAATGCCATTGAATCTTAAGAGCCAGTGGGTAGATTGTCTCTTATTGGAGATTGTCATTGCCTGGCATTTTGTGTAGTATGAATATTGTTTGCCACTTTTCAGCCCAAGCCTGGATGTTGTCCAGGTTTTTTGCATTTGAATAAAGACTTCCTCAGTGGCTGAGGGTAATAAATAGTGCTGAACATCGTGCAATTATCAGTGAACATCCCCTACTTCTGACCTTATGATGGAGGGAAGGTCATTCATGAAACACTGGAAAATGATTTGGTGTAGAACACTACCCTGAAGAATTCCTGCAGACATGTCCTGGAATTGGGATGACAGACCTTCAGCAACCACAACTATCTTCCTATGTGCTAGGCACAATTCCAACCAACAGAATGTTTGTTTGTCCCCTGTTTCCCATTGATTTGAGTTTAGCTATGGTCCTTGATGTTGCATGCAGTCAAATGCAGCCTTGATGCCAAGGGCTATCATTTTGACCTCCCCTCTAGAATTCAGCTTTTATCTGTGTTTGGACAAAGGCTGTAATGTGATCAGAAACTGAATAGCCCTAGTGGAACCCAGTCTGGTCATCAGTGAACCATTGCTGAGCCAATGCTGCTTATTGGCACTGTTGATGATACTTTTCATCACTTTGATGATAACTGAGAGTGGATTGTAGTAATTGGTAGGGTTTGATCTGTCCTTTTTTATGTATAGGATATACCTGGGCAATTCTCTACATTGTTGGCTCTATCCCAGTGTTATAGTTGTACTGGAAGAGCTTCGCTAAGGGTGCGGCGTGTTCTGGAAAACAAATATTCAATACTATTGCTGGAATGTTGTCAGGACCTTTGCAATATCCAGTGCCTCCAACCATTTCTTGATATTATGTGTAGTGAATCGAATTGGCTCAAGGCTGACAACTATGCTGTTGGGGACTTCTGGAGAAGGCTGGAGAAGCCACTTAGCATTTCTGGCTGAAAATTGCTGCAAATGCTTCAGTGTTATCTTTTGCACTGATGTGCTGGGCTCTTCTATCATTAGTGAGGATATTTGTGGAGCTGCCTCTTCCAGCAAGTTGATTAATAGTATACCACCATTCATGACCGGATGTGGCAGGATTGCAGAGCATGGATCGAATCTGTTGGTTGTGGAATTGTTTAGTTCAGCTATCACTTGTTACTTTTGCTGTTTGGCATGGAAGTAGTTTTGTAGCTTCACCAGGTTGACACCTCATTTTTAAGGTATGCCTGGTATTGCTGCTGATGTGCCCTCCTGCACTCTTCATTGAACCAGGATTGATCACCTGGTTTGATGGTGACAGTAATGGTAGAATGGGGGATATACAGGGCAATTAGATTGTGTTGGAGTGTGATTCTGCTACTGCTGATGACCCATAGCACCTCATGAACGCCCGGTCTTGATTTGCTTGATCTGGTTGAAGTCTGTCCCATTTAACATGATGATAATGTCTCACAACACAATGGAGGGTGTTCTTCATGTGGAGGCGAGTTTTCGTCTCCATGTGGAACGTACAGTATCTTACTGATACTGTCATGGACAGATGCATCTCTGACAGATTGATTAGGATGAGGTTAAGTATGTGTTTCCCTCTGGTTTGTTCCCTCACTAGCTGCCCTAGTCTTAGTCTACCAGCTATGTCATTTAGGACCTGACCAGCTTGATCTGTGTAGTGACGCTGCTGAGCCACTCCTGGTGGAGAACACTGAAGTCTGCTAACTGAAGTACATTCTGCACCCTTGCCACCACCCTCCGTGCTTTCTCCAAGTGTTGTTCAACATGAAGGACTACTGATTCATCAGTCAAGATAGGATGGTACATGGTTATCAGCAGGAAGTTTCCTTGCCCACGTTTGACCTGTTACATTGACCCTAGACCCCATGAAGTCTCTCAATGTTAAGGCTCAGAGGCTTTCAAGAAAGAGTTCATAAATGTTGCTAGTTTGATTTGCTCTTGAATCCGTCCTCTCACTGAAGACATGCAAAGATACGTTAATTCTCAAGCCTTCTGTTCCTTTCAATTGAGTGGCATCCTATTAGACTAGCAAATACTTAGAAAATCTCGATCCTATTTCAATTTGGTTGCTTGATATTTGCTGTTGATTTATTGTGACAGGGAAGGAATGTTTTCTGCCATGACTTAGTATACTGGTGTGGCGATTCAAACTTCCGCCTTGACCTTCCACATGAAGAAGTCCTTCATCACATTAAGGGACAGGACTGGAAAACTCTTCAGGCCCATGACCAGCTGCAGCATCAGAAGACTGAGAATAAAGTGAGTGCAAAAAATAATGAGAAGTAAGAAAAAATAATTTATTTTCATAGGACAGTATTTTTATCCTTTGTACCGGTCATTGCTTCATAGACAAAAACAGAAATTGCTGAGAAAGCTCAGCAAGTCTGGCAGCATTTGTAGAGGGAAATCAGAGTTAACATTTTGGGTCAAATGACCCTTCCTCAACAGCTTCTCGTTAGTAGTGGTTAGTATCCCCACCTATCGCACGGGAGACCAGGGTTCAATTCCTCGACGGGGATTGTGTGCTATATCTGAGCTTGGCAATGCAGCTGTAAGGACATGTTCTTTAGCAACACAATGGCTCAGTGGTTAGCACTGCTGCTTCACAACACCAGGAACCCAAGTTTGATTCCAGCCTTGAGTGATTGCCTGACTGGGAGTTTGTACATTCTCCCTGTGTCTGTAGGTTTCCTCCAGTTGCTCCACAGTCCAAAGATATGCAAGTTAGGTGGATTAGCCATGCCAAATGCCCTGTAGTGTCCAGGGCTGAGCAGGTTAGGTGGATTGGCCTTGTTAAATGTGAGGATACGGGGACAGGTTGAAGGCCTGGGTCTGGGTGGGATGTTTTTCAGAGGAATGGTGCAGATTCGATGGGCTGAACTGCTTCTTTCTGCATTGTAGGGGTTCTATGATCTTGGGGGCGGCTCAGTGGTTAGTACTGCTGCCTCACTGTGTCAGGAACCCGGGTTCAATTCCAGCCTCGGGCAACTGTCTGTGGAGTTTGCACATTCTCCCCATGTCTGCGTGGGGTTCCTCCGGATACTCTGGTTTCCTCCCACAGTCCAAAGGTATGCAGCTTAGGTGGATTGGCTGAGCCAAATTGCCCACTGTGTCCAGGGATGTGCAGGATAGGTAGATTAGCTGTGGTAAGTGCAGGGTTAGGGAATGGGATGCTCTTTGATTGGCTGAATGGCCTCTATCTGCACTGTAGGGATTTTATCAAACAGCAGGGTATGTTATTCCTCCTTGATTTATAATGATAATCTAGTAAAATGTATTTTTAGCTTTATACAAAAAAAGGTCTCTGCCCCAATGTCCAATTTTATGTTATAAGGTTGAGTACATTATCAAGAGTTATTTGCAAAGTAAAAACCGAAAGGACTGTGGATGCTGTAAATCAGAAACAAAAACAGAAGCTGCTGGAAAAGCTCAGCAGGTCTGGCAGCATCTGTGAAGAGAAACCAGGTAACATTTTGGGTCCGGTAACCCTTCCTCAGAATTTCTGTGTGGAGTTTGCACGTTCTCCCTGTGTCTGTGGACCTCCCACAGTCCAAAGATGTGCAGGTTAGATGGATTGGCATTGCCCATAGCCTTTAGGGTGGGAAGTGCAGGGATAGGGAAGAGGTGGGTCTGAATGGGATGGTCTTCAGAGAGTCAGTGTGACTCGATAGGCCGAGTGGCCTGCTTCAAGCTATAGGAATTCTATGATAGGATTTTTTCTTCTCGATTTTGTATTTCCAAGCTGTGCAGTGATGCACATGATGTGGTGTCAAGTTGATAATTTATGGGGGCAATGCAACAAATGAAATATGGAGATTCCAGAAGGTATTAACATGAATTCACAAAAGGCAAGGCAATCACACAGATTCGGGTTCTCTGTAATTGTGGCTTGGTGTAATCAGGAGCATTTCAGGAAGGCACCTGCTGAAATCAAGTGATACAAAGGTGTCTGAAAGAATGAGTAGTAAGAACGTTAGACCCAAGTTTGGATTCAGCACAGAAGCAGCTTAATGATGTAACTACTTTTCTATGGTCTGTCCATTGTTAATACCAAGTGTCAGCATGCTCTTTCACATGCTTCATGATGAGACCCATAAGGCAAGTTTGCAATGGGTATAGACATGGCCTTGGATTGGTTTGTTCAATTCTTGGGGGAAGTGACGGTGATATGGAAGCCAGCCAAAGGATTCATTATATATAAACAAGGAACAAGAGTTCGCCCTTCAAGACCGCTCTGCCATTCAATAAAAGATTTGATTTTAACCTCAATTCTACATTCCCATAATTTATCATTCCTTTAGTGATTATGAATCTATCTATCTCAGCCTGAAAAATATTTAAAGATTCTGCATTCACTTTGTTTTGAGGAAGGGAATTCCAAATGCACTTATCTCTGAGAAAAAGAATGTTCCCTCATCTCTGTCTAATATGGACGACCACCAGTTCTAGATTCTCCCACAAGTGGAAATATCCTTTTGACCTGGTAGATTCCCCTCTAACTCTTCTAAGTCACCTCTGACTCTTCTAAACTCTACAGGATACAAGCCTAGTCTGTCTAGCCTTTCCTCATAAGGCAGTCTGCTCATTCCAGTTATTAGTCTAGTAAACCTTCTCTGAACTGCTTCTAATGCATTAACATTCTTCTGTAAGTATGGTGAGATCAGTACTGTACTGGTACTTTAGATGCAATCTCGCCAGTGTCACATACAACTGAAGCATGATCTCCTTACTCTTGAATTCAATTCCCCCACAATAAAACAAAATATTCTGTTAGCTTTTCTGATTACTTGCTGCATCTGCATACTATCCTTCTATAGTTCTTACTCTAGGACACACTGTTCTCTCTGCATCTCAGAGCTCTGCAGCATTTACCTTGGATGATATATTTCTTTTTTATTCTTTCTGCCAAAATGGACAATTTCACACTTTCTACATTATACTCCATTTGCCAGATCTCTGCTAACTCATTTAACTAATCTATGTCCTTTTGTAGCCTCCGTATGTTTTCTTTACTCACTTCTCTGCTTATCTTCATGTCATCAGTACAACCTGTCTTCCCATTGCTGAATAGTCCTGCTTAGTCACCCCAGGACCCATAACATTGGAGTGGAAGAAAGTCAACCTTAATCCCAAGTGACTGCCCAGTAAGAAGATTGTTCAATATCAATCTCCTCCTTCGCTTTAATTTTTCTGCCTTCAGAAGATGCTTAATGAACATTTTTTTTTGTAAATGTGTGCACCTCCAATCCTTTCAGCTGTGCAGTACCATGCAGGACCTGCTAAGATTCTGTAGGTGCTTGCTGATGAGTGTGGAAAAACCCCAGAGACGTCACTGGGAATATGAAATGTAGTTTTGATACACTGATTTTGTTTAATCAACACACCTGGCTGGTCATGTGGCTTTCATTATAATGTTTATGCATTTCACTTGCGTGGCTGTTTAGAATCCCGACAGTGTGGAAACAGGCCATTCGGCCCAACAAATCCACACCACCCCTCTGAAGAACATCCCATCCAGACCCATTCCCCTACCCCTGCATTTTCCCATGTCTAACTCCACCAAACCTAAACATCCCTGGGCACTATAGCATGACCAATCCACCTAAGTCTTCACATCTTTGGGCTGTGGGAGGAAACCCACACAGACACGGGGAGAATGTTCAAACTCCAAACAGACAGTTGCCCGTGGGTGGAATTGAACCCGGGTCCCTGGTCCTGTGAGGCAGCAGTGCTAACCACTGAGCCACCATGCCACCATAAGATTTGAACCTGTGCGGAGTACCCCAATGGAATTCGAATCCATCGCCTTAACCACTCGGCCACGACTGCAAGGGCTACTTGTTGGATGAATTGAGAAATCCACTGCCTACTAAAGACCAAGCATGCGGCATTTAAGTCAGACAACACAGACCTATACAAGAAATCCAGATATGACCTCCGCAAAGCCATTAGAGATGCCAAGAGGCAGTACCAGACCAAGCTGGAGGCCCAAACTAACCATTCGGACACCTGCTGCCTATGGCAAGTCCTACACAACATTACAGGATACCAAATGAATCAGAACAAAACAGCGGACAAAATCACATCCCTCCCTGATGCGATCAGTACTTTCTATGCTCAGTTTGAGCAGAATGCCAGTGGCACAGTGTTACCTGCCATGACAGCCCTTGGACTGTTCCCTCTTACTGCTGCAGATGTCAAATTGGTCTTCCTCAGAGTAAATCCAAGGAAAGTGACGGGCCCAGATGAAGTCCCTGGCCATGTACTTAGATCCTTCCAGCCTAGTATTTGGGGCAGCACGGTGGCTCAGTGGTTAGCACTGCTGCCTCACAGCTCCAGGGACCCGGGTTTAATTCTCAGCCTTGGGCGACTGTCTGTGTGGAGTTTGCACATTCTCCCCGTGTCTGCGTGGGTTTCCTCCCACAGTCCAAAGATGTGCAGGTTAGGTGGATTGGCTGTGCTAAATTGCCCATAGGGATGTATAGATTAGGTGGGTTATAGGGGGATGGGTCTGGGTGGGATGCTCTCAGGTTCAGTGTGGACTTGTTGGGCTGAAGGGCCTGTTTCCACACTGTAGGGATTCTATGATTCTAGCTGGCAGAGGTATTCACAGACATCTTTAATCTCTCCTTGCTACAATCTGAAGTCCTCACCTGCTTCAAGAAGACCACCATCATCCCAACACCAAAGAAAACACATGCAACATGCCTCAATGACTACCGCCACATGGCTCTGACCTCCATAATCATGAAGTGCTTTGAGAGGCTGGACATGGCTTACATCAACTCTAGCCTCTCAGCCTGACTTGATCCCTTGCAGTTTGCCTATCAGCAAACAGGTCCACAGCGGATGCCATTTCCCTAACCCACACACTCATCATTGGAACATCTGGATAACAAGGACACCTATGTCAGGCTCCTCCTCATTGACTACAGCTCTGCCTTCAATAGCATAATCCTTATCAGACTAATCTCAAGATCTGAGATGTAGATCTTGGCTCCGCCCTCTGCAACTGGATCTTTACTTCCTGACTCACGGACCACAATCAGTGAAGATAGACAAAGGAACTTCCTCCACGATAATCCTCAACACTGGCACCACACAAGGATGCATTCTCAGCCCCCGCCTGTATGCCCTGTATACCGGCGATTGCATAGCCAAATTCCGCATGAACGCCATCTACAAGCTTGCTGACGACACCACCGTGGTGGCTGGAAATCAAACAACAATGATTCAGAATACAGGAAGGAGAAAGAGGGCTTGGTGTCATGGTGCGATAACAGCTCTCTCTCTCTCTCTCACTCTCTCTCTCTCTCTCTCGTTCAAACTGATCATTGAATTCAGGAAGAAAGGAGGAGGACATGCCCCTATCTACATCAACAGAGCTGAGGTGGAGAGGGTCAAGAACGCCAAGTTCCTTGGAGTAACAATAACCAACCATCTGTCCTGGTTCTCCCACATAAATGAGACTGTCAAGAAGGCACAACACTGCCTCTGCTTCCTCAGGCGGCTTAGGAAATTTGGCATGTTACAAAGACCCTCACCAACTTTTACAGATGCATGATGGAAAATATACTATCCAGGTGCATAATGGCCTGGTATGGTAACAGCTGTGCCCAGGAACGTAAGAAACTATAGAAAATTGTGTGCACAGCCCAGACCATCACGGAAGCCAACCTTCCATCCGTAGATTCCATTTATACTTCTTGTTGCTGCAGAAAGGCTGCCAACATCAACAAAGACCCTCCCCACCCTGGTAATGTTCTCATCCAACCTGTTCCATCAGGCAGAAGATCTAGAAGCTTGAACACAGGCAGCGACAGATTGAAGAACAACTTCTTCACTGCTGTTATTTGGCTGGTGAATGGACCTCTCTAACTTCAAATAATGTTGATCTTGCTTTGTGCATCTCCTGTTCAGCTGTAACCTTGTACGCCTCTCTCTGTCTAAGCAGTCTATGATAAGTATGTTCTTGTTTGCTATAATCTACCTGTACTGCTCGCAAAACAAAACTTTTCACTGTACGTAGATACATGTGACTACAATACATCAAAGCAAAACTGTTTATAAGCCAGGTTCTCTATGACCAATTCCTTATTTCTGCCACCGGGTCCAAATTGTTTTGTACTGCTAGAATGCTGTATTTTCTTTTAATTCACTCGTGGGACATGGGTGTCGCTGGCTGGACCAATATTTATTGTCTATCCCTGTGTGCCCTTGAGATGGTGGTGGTGAACTGCTGCCTTAAACTGTTGAAGTCCATGTGCTGCAGGTAGACCCACAAGGCCAGGATCTTGACCCGATAACACTGAAGGAACAGTGATATATTTCTAAGTGAGGACAGTGAATAGATCGGAGGGGAACCTGCAGGTAGTGGCATTCCCACATATTTTCTGCCCTTGTCCTTCTAGATGGGAGTGGTCATGAGTTTTGAATATGCTTTCTCGGGATTTTTGGCAAATTTCTGCAGTGCATCTTGTAGATAGTACACACTGTTGCCAGTGGTGGAGGGAGTGGAAGTTTGTGGATGTCATGCCAATCAAGCGGGCTGCTTTGTCCTGGATGGTATCAGGTTTCTTGAGTGTTGTTGGAGCTGCACAGGCAAGTGGAGAGTATTCCTTCACTCTCCTGACTTGGGCCTTGCAGATGGTGGGCAGGCTTTGGGGAGTCAGGAAATGAGTTACTTGGTATAGTATTCCTAGCCTTCCTGGCAAGTTGATTTGAGTTTCTGGTCTCTGGTAATCTGATGTTGATTGTGGGAGATCCATTGTGTGTCAAGGGGCAGTGGTTATGTTGTCTCTTATTGGAGACATTAAATGATGAAAACATTGTTACCATTCCCAGGAAGTCTACTGCAAACTTGCATGAATTGTCACAACTGTAATGGAAGGAATATGCTGATAATCAAGCTCCTATGAAGTACTCTTTTTAAAGTACTCTAAGTACTACTGTTAAGTATAAAAGGAATGTCACCAGGCTTCTTAGCTCAATAATGTCTTTATTATTAATAAAACATATTCTCAATAGGTTTGAGATAACTACTCATTACAGCTTTAACTGTGGATCATACCTTAGATGTTAATATCCTTGATCGTATAGACATACACTCTCTCACAACATGAAAATGAGATGTTTTTGCAGAGATGGTGTTAAAAAGGCAAAAAATGAAGAAATTTCTGTGGTTCAGAGTCTAGAAATAAACAATAAAAGGTGACAACTTCTCAAATCTGCTGAAATTTTCTGTTGACAAAGCTGAATCGCTGACAGCTATACATTGATGATAATTATTCAGTCTGATTCCAAGCAACTTGGGTTTGAGTTGTTGCAAATGAGCACAGTCCACAGTACTTAAAATTTCACAAGGTTGACAAAAATATTGGCTTTTGGAAACTCTTAAATTCCCAGGACTGACTTCTAAGGAGCCAGACTTTAGGAGACAGGACGTGTTTTCAGGGGTGTCTTCTTGAGTTACTGACTCTGGGTTTGTAAAACAGAATTCTAAAACCAGAGAAGGTTGCTAGGCCACAATTAGCATAGACCCTAAGCCCCTCAAAGCCAGTTTTTTTTTAACCCCAGTAACTATATAATAAACCTAATTTCTTATCTCCTTGCCTTGCGTAGCTGCTTCTGCAAAATTGCTCAATTTCTGGAAAATTCCAAGTAGCTCACAATACACATTAAACTTTTGACATTAGAAATGTCAGGTGGGTCTCAGCCCATGAACTGTTGAACCCATTTCCAAGAAATCACATGATTCTGTTCAGTCCAGAAAATGTCCAAGTAATTCCATGTTTTCCAGCTTCCTTCAATGTTGTCCTTAAATTATATTCCCAACAGAAATTCCTCTTGTCATTGCACAGCAGCTGTCCATTGCTAGAACGTTAATAATGTTAATTATTGTTAATCTGGTACTCGTTAGATTATCACATGCATGCAATTGATCATGCCCTGTACGTGTGGGAAGCCAGTCAGGATTTAAATCTGACTACCAGCTCATTCAGTTTAGAAGAAGTTTGTAAAGACTCCCTTCCTGCCAAGCAACCCAACTGCTACCCACCCTGTATGTCTACACGCAACAACTTAGGGACTCTCAAAGTAGCAACATAGGCCAGAATTTTATTGGGTTTTGGTGTGCGGCTGGTCAGCAGGAGAGGCGTGGATGGACAACATCAAGTGAGGAGTTGGCATGTCCATCACTTTGCCACCCCTATTGCATTTCAGCAGTAATGGAAAAGTTAGTGGATGGCACTTCTGCCTATTGGCCAATTGAAAGCCTTAAATTACTAAGCAAGAGCCACTTAAGGTTGGCTCTTTGTGATGTGGTGAGACAGCCAGGTGAAATCCTGGTGGGCTTCTTCCAGTTTCAGGGGTGAGTTACCCTGTGATGTGAACTGTACCCACCTGCCATGGTTCCAAATCTTTTTATACATCAGGCTAGTAAAAGTCTATCAGTCGTAAATTTAACATTAATAATTCCACTTGCATGTACTGTCTTTGTGGGAGAATGCTCCACAACTCCAATACTCTATGTCTGGGTTCTGATCTTGAGGTTATGTCACCTTGTCCTGTCTCGTCACCAGAAAAGGTTTCTAATAACCCTTTCAAAATCCAAAAAATGTCAACTAAGTCATCTAAGCTTCTGGGCTGCAACAAATATAACCTCTCCTCATATTCTAACCTTTGAACCCTGATGTCATCTTGGTGTATTTATGCTGCTCTTCTACAGTGTCAATGTATAGGTTCTAAGTTGCTGTGCTCAGATTCATTCCCAGTTCTCTCAAAGTGGTTTATCTAGGGCTTTGTTTGGTTTAGGGAAGCCTTTTGCTCTTGGTAATCTAGCCCTTTTATTATAACGGCTAAAGTTCAGTTAGCTTTTTTGATTATTTGTTCTTCCACAGTTTGTTTTTAGCTTTTTAATGTTTCAAAACTACGCAATATATCCATTGTTTTTGCTGCAATATCTGTCTTGAAATGCATCAGTGGTTTCCAGATTATTTCTTCATTCCAAAGATGTTTAAGTATGAATGTTGTGTGCTACTTAATATGATCTTTACACTCAATGGGGAAAGCATGCAACAGAATGAAACAGCTGAGCAATTGTCATTTTTTTCTAATAAAATCCATTAGTTTGGCTCAGAGAACTTTCTTGAATCATTTAAGAATTATTTTTTAAAACTTGATTGTTTATAATTTTAACTTAAAAAATTTGCATTTTTTATTTAGATTTTCAAAGATTTCTTTGAAGGTACCATCAACTTCGCTCCAACATACAAATATGATGTGGGCACAGATGTTTATGACACCAGTGACAAATGCAGAACTCCTGCTTGGACAGATCGAGTGCTGTTGTGGAGAAAAAATTGGTCCTGTGATACATCTGGTATGATGATAAAATCAAAACGTTAACCTAGCAGTAACTAAAATTATTTAATATCTACATTGTAAAGAAGTAACAGATATAGCCATATCTTTTTATGTTGTCACAATTTTTAAGCCACTAGATAGTTGCCTCGAAGATGGAGCCAATTTACCTATATAGGGAGTCCTCACTATTCGTAGGAGATACATTTCAGAAAAATCTGACGATTAGTGAAAGAATGAAATACAGTGGTTTATACATCATAAAAATTAATGCAATTAAAGGGGGGCCGCGTTACGATGAATTCCTTAAGCTGCCTTTGTTTTGACAATTGTGGATTTTTATACTGCTAATCCTTCATGTACTGTACACAAAACTTACAAGCTTTTAAACAATTTTAAACAGTCTTAAATAATTTTACTTTAATTCTTACCTTGGAAAAGTGACCTGCTTGCTGAGGGTGAGTGTTGGTTCTTCATTTGTCTTTTTTCCTGTCGCCTTCATCTGTAGGCCTGACAGTCCTGATTTTTCCTGTGACTCGTTTGACTTTAGAAGGTTTAGGAGTTGCCACTCCTTTAAAGAAAATGTCTAGAATTGACTGTTTTGCGTCACACATCTTGGCGTCGTAAATCTATTGTTAACATGACAAGCTATCATTAACAAGCCACTTTGGCTGATTGATCTACCAGATGGTCATGACATCTAAGAACATTCAGAGCTTCATAAGTGTGCATGAAAACATCCTGCAGGCACTTTGTGATCAGGTCTTTTTCATGAATTAGTGGTGCATTATCACCTTCATCATCTAAATTCTCTTCGCTGAATGCTTGTGCATCCATTTCTACCAGGTCTTCATTACTGAGCGGCTTGGAATGGGACTTGAATAACCATGCAACATCATTCTTTCCGACCTCCTCAAAGCCCACCTACCATCCCAGATTTACTAACTCATTATGAATAGTGGCCAAGTCATTGACCCTGGCAGTGACTTCTTCCATGCACTGTTCATGTGATAAAGCAAAACTTTGTCCCATATAGCACCAGTGATGTTCACAGCACCCATGATGTTAAATTGCTTCTAGACAGCTTAGACAGATGGCTTCCCTTCACCATCTGTTTTCTTGATGAGTGTCCGGAAAGTCTTACAGATATAGTAGACTTCAAATGTTGCTCTGACTCTCTGGTCCATCGGCTATATGATGGATGCCATTCACAAAGGTAGGAATGTGACTTTGACATTTGGATAAAGAACCTCATAGTCCAAATTGTGAGCACTGGCATTGTCCAAAATGAGAAGAATCTTATATGTCAAAATTTCCTTGGCATAATACTACAGCATCTCAGTACAAAGTAGCCCATGGACCAGTCATGTAATATCTGTTTAATTATCCATGCCTTGCAGTAAAGTTTGCAGGTGATAGGGAGACACAATTTTTTTAATTGCATGTGGGTTCTCACCATGATAAGTGATCGTTGGTTTCAGCTTCTTGTCACCTTTTGCAAAGCCATCTAGAACAGAGTGAGATGGTTGAGAAGCACTTTTCACACTGGCACTATGGGTTCTTGATAGTATTAATATCTAATACAGACCCGTCTCATCTATATGGGAAACTTGGTGAACATCCTCTCTGATTTCTAAACTTCTCCAGGAAAGAATCAGCAGCATCAGTGTCAGTACTGGCCGCTTTCCCTGCACGCATACCTTCTTAAAGCTGTACCATGCATGGAAATGATTAAACCAGCCACGGCCCATATCAGAAGTTTCTTGTTTCACACAGAGATTTGTAGTAGAGCTCCCTCCCTCGTCTTGTTTGATGTTTTCATAAAAACTGAAAGCCTTCTGTCGGATAAGGGCAAGGCTGATCAGTGTGTTCTTCTCATGAAGATCATTCTCACCACCAATCTGTTTTCCATTATCTCCATTGCCTGGTTGTGATGCTGTGTTATCTTTTGCATTGAACGCAACGCAGCATGTTTGGCTTTCTCGCTGATCTTATTACTCTTTCCCAGGAATGAATGGTTGGTGGAAGCAATCTAAGATGGTGAGCAACATGATTACTACTTTTCTTAATTAAGTCTAATTTCACATTGTGAGTCACAATTTGATGCTGTCAGATGTATTGAGGAGATTCAACATTTGCTGTAGTGGCGCGTTTTCCTGTCATGGTCACACGAGTACAAGATAAAAACAGAGGAATCTCGTGATGCACTTTCACTGAGAACTATGAACTCAAATAGTGTTGAGAAGGAATGCTGTGCAGGTTGCAAAAACTGCTGGGAGCACTTGACAATACGCCAAAGTAGCAATGTAAGAATTAAACAGCTCAACAAGTACTGAAAATTGTTCCCTAATTTAATAGGAATGTATAGGCAAAAAAAATTATATTGGTTCAACAAAAAGCATTGACCTGCTGTATATGAATTGTTTGAAAAATGTTTGTTGTAGATGTCTGTTTAGGTAAATAAGGAGCAGTAATTTTCAGAGGTAGTAGGAACTGCCGATGCTGGAGAATCTGAGATAACAAGGTGTAGAGCTGGAAGAACACAGCAGGCCAAGCAGCATCAGAGGAGCAGGAAAGCTGATGTTTTGGGTCGAGACCCTTCTTCAGAAATTCAGCAATAATTTTCTTCATAATAATAACCTTCTTCAGAAATTCAGCAATAATTTTCAATTGTGTTTGGTTGACGCGTTTCTGATGACTTATTAGTTGATCTTTGGTTACACTGTTCACAGATTTAATTCGATATATACCAATTGTTGTGATTCCAGCTTTTGTTACCATTGGACAAGTCAAATCTCAGAATGAAACCCAACTTGATAGACCAACTCTGAAAAAGAATATTGTTGGTCATTCACTGAAACATAGGCACATAAGGCTACAGGTTTTCTTTTAAACCAGAATATAGTTTTATTGTAATAAAATAAATTGAGCTATCTAAATATCGTACACACTTTGAAACACTTTAAAACATGTAGCAAAACAAATCTCATGTATTCCCTAGTACAATAGCTTTACAGTGAGCCAAATCCAGAGAAATTATTCTTCTGTTTCAGATTTTAAAGTTTGACCTAACTGCTTCTCTCCACTTCTGTCCTGTGATCTGTGAATATTGTTGCTTGAATACTCAAAAAACTGAAAGCTTCAACTTTTTCAGTCTTTTAATAGTCAACTGATTTATAACCAAGCATTCCTGGTCTGTAAGTTTCATAAACTTAAACTTTTAATTTAGGATAATTGTGCTTTCCCTGAATTATCCTACACTTCTTTCTGGGAGAGAAACTATATTTGCTCCTGACCCCAGTTAAATCTCTTCCAAGACTGTGTACTAAATGTTTTTAGTCTCTGACTTTTCCTAAGCTTAACGTCAATACTTGATCACCCTAAATCAGAGGCAAGCTTAGGTCTTTCAATGTTTACTCCCTATTGTAAATCCTTCAGTATAAACAAACAATCTTCTATTAACACTACAGGAGAATTGCAATTACTGGATTTCAGATGCAGAATTAGGTAATGGTTCCAGAAGTTTTTGATTTTATTTAAAACTTCTCCACGAAAGTAATGGTGACTTTAACTTCCCCAATATTGACTGGAACTCACTTAGAGCAAGAGGCTTAGATGGAGTAACATTTGTTAAGTGCATCCAAGAGGGCTTCTTGAAACAGTATGTGGATAGTTCGACTAGAGGAGGGGTCATACTGGACCTTGTACAGACCAATAAGCCTGGTCGGGTGACTGACCTTTCATTGGGAAAGCATTTTGGAAATGGTGATCACAACTCCTTAAGTTTTAAGATAGCTGTGAATAAGGACAAGCCAGGACCTTGCGGGAAGGTGCTAAATTGGGGTGGGCAAAATACGTCAGTATTAGGCGGGAGCTAGGGAGTGTTAATTGGGAGGAACTGTTATCGTGCAAGTCCACATTTGACATGTGGGAGTTGTTTAAAGACCTACTGATGAGAGTTTAGGACTGGCATGTTCCAGTAAGAAGTAAAAGGATGGCAAGATAAGGCAACCTTGGATAGCAAGGGAGGTTGTGCATTCAGTCGAAAGGAGAAAAAGAAACTAAAATCGGACAGGGCCCATTAGGAATACAAAGAAAGCAGGATATAATTCAAGCAGGGAATTAGGAGAGCAAGGAGGGGCCATGAAATAACCTTGGCAAGTAGGGTTAAAGAGAATCCCAAGGCCATCTATACATGTATTAAAAACCAAAGCATTATTTGGGAGAAGGTAGGACCACTCGATAAAGGAAGAAGCTTTTATGCTAGGAGATAGAGGGTGTGGTTGAGATCCTAAATGAGTACTTTGCATCAGTATTCACCCAGGAGAAGGATATGGAGGATAGTGAGATTTATGTGGAGCATGCTAATATGCTAGGGCATTTTGAAATCAAGAGAGAAGTGGTGTTGGGTCTCTTGAAGGACATTAAGGTGGATAAGTCCCAAGGGCCCAATAATGTCTACCCCAGGTTATTAAAAGAGGCAAGAGACAAGATTACTGGGACCTTGACCAAGATCTTTGTATCTTTGCTAGCCACTGGAGAGGTCCCGGAGGACTGGTGAGTAGCTAATGTTAATCCTCTGTTCAAGAAGGGGAACAGGGATAATCGGTGAGTCTCTCATCGGTGGTTGGGAAGCTATTAGAGAGAATTCTTAGGGTTAGGATTTACGCACATTTGGAAAAGCATGGTCTGATTAAGGACAGTCAGCATGGCTTTGTGCAGGGCAGGTCATGTCTTTACTAACTTGATTGAATTTTTCGAGGAGGTGACAAAGGTTATCAGAGGGTAGAGCAGTAGATGTTGTTTACATGAATTTTAGTAAGGCTTTCGACAAGGTCCCTTATGGTAGGCCCATCCAGAAGATTATGATGCATGGGATCCACAGTCACTTGGGCTCGTGAATTCAAAATTGGCTTGCCCATAGAAAGCAGTGGGGAGTGGTGGAAAGCTGTTTTTCTGGCTGAGCACCGAGACTAGTGGTGTTCCGTAGGGTTCCATACAGGGACCTCTGCTGTTTGT